TTTTTTTTTTGATAATAAGAAGGTTTTTTATTATTATATGAGAACTGAAGCTAAGCTCCTTTATATACTAGAAAAAGGTGGATCTTCCTTTCAGGAAGATAAAAAGAAGGAACCCAGTGAATCATTGTTACTTCGAATAATGAAAAATAATTTAGCTCTAGGTTTTATTTTATTATCTTTTTGTTATGACTAATTCATGCAAGAAAATTTGTTATACTACATTACTACCTAATACTAGTACTCTCGAAAGCGATATATTGGAGGAAATTTCAACGAGTCTTCTTCCAGCTAAATCAGATTCCACAATGTTTTGGTCAGTTTCACATTTCTTTTTCTTACCGTAAGAAGAGAATTCTAGTGTTGAACGTAATCGATTGATGTGATGTCATGAAACAATACTCTATATATGTATACGGTCATCGTCATAACCGATTTTGTAGGAAACAGACCAACCTTTAGACAACACGTAGCTGATTTAAATTTTGTCATTTAATCAGACTTTGAATTGTAAAAAGTCATCTTAAAATTGTTTTAAAGTAACCAATACTAAAATTATGTAGAAATTCCTAATATATGTGTATATTAGAGAGTTCATCCTTAGCTTTCGTCCATCTAAATGATGAATGATTAATGAATGCATGTGGTATTGTTTGGACTTTGAATTCAACAGCAGTTTGTACACGTCGTAATAATGAAAACGTTATAGCACCATCAGTTTTTCTTTTATGTTTTATTCTTAAATTCTTCTTCTTTTTCTTATGTTGAACTTTACATAAACGAGATTTTCTTAACGGGGGAAAAAAAGAGTTTTCTTTTGCCAATTGATGCTGGAGACTTAAACAAAAATATGCAACACGTGACGTTTTAGGTGAACCAGTTAGGGATAATTTTGTGACTGTCTGATGAACTGGTTCAGCTAGGTTTGGTCTTTGAACATAGGCCAGTCAATGTTCTAAATATACATGTTCCCACTCAAAACTTTCTCTATTGTTCAAAACTCTCAAAGTCCACATGAATTGAAAATTAATACAAACATGGTGTAAATTCGAACAACATGAAAATAAATATTTCTTCAATTGAAAGTAGATTAAAAAAATACCATACATAAAAATAATTGAATTGACTATAATATTATCAAAATTTTAAAATGCATGTGGATTTATGGAAATCCTTCCGTCATATATAACCCTTAAAAAGTCTATCATGGATATGATCAAGATTATCTGCTTAGCCGATCGAAATATCTTATAACGGGTTTTGTTTTTTATGTAACGAATTTATTGTTAGACGAGTAGTTGTTCAAGAGACGTGTGATCCTACAAAGTACAAACAAAAGCGATCGAGACCTTAACGTTTGAAATAATTTGAGAATGGTAAAAGTTTCAAAGTCTTGGCATTGACAAGTTCGTTTGAACAACTTAAACAAAAAAAAAAAAAAAAAGTTCGTTTGAACAAAGCTATTTTCATATATGGCTGCTGCATTTTCCTGATTTTATATTATAATGGTTATGCATGATAAGTAACTTCAATAATGGCACAATGTTGTTTTCTAATGTAGTTATATAAGAGCATCTCCAATAGTTCATATATTGGGTTCTCTCATATGGTTTTCATGAAAAAGAATTTCAAAAATAAATCAAAATCATGTTATATGAAGAGAGACAGCTCTCTTGTGAGAGGTTTTGAGATGCAAGAGAGACGATGACGTGACGTCATTCCATTGGTTGATTTTTAGACAAAAAAAGGAAAAAAAAAGCAAGGAAAAAAAACACAATCTTTACGCGTAAAACCCTACAAAGAGAGCCTACCATTAGACTTTGCAAAATTAAAAAAATTTAACAAAAACTCTCATCTCATAAATTTGAAAATTTTATTCTTAAAAAAATGGTGAGAGTCCACGAGATGCTCTAAGTATTTCACTAATAAAAAAGGTTGTATAAAACTAAACAAAATGTCAAACGCATGATATGTATTGTGATTAAAAAAATACTAGTAAATTGTGTATTTAAGTAGGTAAAAAAAATTAATCATGTATTTCAAAAGAGAAATCATACGAGACCAAAAAAACAAAAAAAAAAAGCATTACAAAGTTCTGTGTTTTCCAAATCCTATTATAATAAATTACAAGTCACTTTACAAATAACTGCAGCTTTCTCCATTTGACACCTGTCTTAAGTCTCAAATTCTACTCTTTTACTTTTTTTTTTTAAACTAATTTACGACAAAAAAAAAATCAAAAATTAAAAAACTGTTATTCTTCCCCATATCCCCCCCACGATCTCTACAATATCTTTTTAAAAAATCTTTTTAACTCAATGTATATACAAAATACTGTTACACAAATTTGTAACTAATTGCTAAAGAAAAAAATACGATTTGCTAATCATTTGGGTAGAAAATAAATTGCTACACTGATATGACCGCGCAAAGCGCGAGCTATTAAACTAGTACATGTATAACAGGTCAAGTCTTGAAATATCAGTTCGAAGCTTCTATGAAATTGTATTCCGATCCTATTGATGAATTTTCTCTGTACACTTCATTATGAAAGCTTGACGACAGGATTTACGAATCACCGGTAGTTTTACTGTTTTATATGCATATTTTATATCCACAAAGGTAATATGATGCTCATACTAAGTCAATCCTTAAGAAAAAAGAAACTTGACCATATTTGTTTTACATTATTTTGGGAGAATTGAAAATATAAATTATATTTTAGTGTCATATATATACTATTGTAACATTGTAATAGTCTAGATTTTAAAAATTAAAAGTATTGCTAAATTATCTTTTCCGGGTGAATGAATGTCCAAACATGATTTTGGAAAATTAGTGGACTAGTGTAAACATGTTTTGGAATCCCTGGAAGGCAGAACCTTTTTAGCCAAGGCCTCAAACTCCTTCTCGGTTCGCTCTTTGCCTTTGGGGTTGTGAGCCAACATGAGGCAGTCCATGTGGACTACTTCTTTTGTCAAGAGGCTTGAGTCTGGCACCACCGGAAATATAGATTCGGCCACCATCAATTTCCCGTTGTCTGGGAGCTTCGTAGCAGTTATTCAGAAATTTCAAACAGTATCGGCAACGGCGGACCTAGTAAGGGAAAAGGGGGGTCAACTGACCCACCTTAAATATTCAAATATATACTAATGCATTAGATTTTTGAAAGTCCTTGCAGCATAGTTGGAAAATCCTTATTAACTGACCCACCTTATCTCGGGTTCAACTTCTATCCTTTGTCACTTTTATGTATTTTTTTTTTTGTACACCTTCAATACATGTTTTTTGTTTTTTTTCTTATTCTTTTTAAAAATCAAAGCATTTATTGGAACTTGTATACCTTTTTTAATTAACCATGACAAATTAGTAATGTTTTTTAAAAAAAAAATTTTACATTTGTTTAGTGTTTGTGTAATAATATAAAACAAGAAATAATATGATATAATTGAAAAGAAATTTTGACCCCGGTAAAAATAATTTCTGGGTCCGCCACTGAGTATCGGTCGCTCCAATTCATGACATATCCACTGTCACATCTGGGAAATGTTAAAAACCAGATGTTTGGGACTAGTTTCCTAACCTTCATGAAGATGGCATCTGCATTGGGGACATTCACAAACATATCTCCCCCAATATGTTCAATACCTAAATCATTCAACAAAAGCCACCTCTAAGTCAATCTTTAGGCATCAAACTTTCGATGAAAACATATTGAATACCTAAAAGAGAAATATATATAGCTTCCAGACTGGTCCAAGTCCATATCTTACTGGGCTAAGTCAAGTCTCATTATTTGGGCCAACAAATTGAGCTAAGCATTATTAGCCCATGTTGTAAAAAGGTCATAAAAAGGTCTTACCATATTTGAAACCCTAAAACACTCTTCTCTTTAATCACGATTTATTCAAAATAAACTAAAAATTTTAAATTTGAAAATAAGATCAAATCCTCTGCCACCGCTGCTTGTTGAGGACAAGGAGGAGGAACAACGGTCATTTGCGATTTCGAGAAACCCACCCTTTCAAGAAAAGAAAAAAAGATCGAAAATTTACAGTCGAAGAAAGGAAAAAATGGTGATTAAGCGAAGAGAGATAGTGGAGATTACACCAGATCCATGTGAGACAAAGAAGAAAACGAAAAGCAAGCGAAGAAAGAGACTTAGTAAGAAGGAGGAGGAAGAAGAAGAAGACGATGGCATACCTCTTAGAGGTATATTTTGTCTTAAAAAAAGACAAGATATGAAGATTTTCGAGGAGAAAGAGGATTGCTTTATCCTCGATTTCGATCCCAACGATTCATTTGATGCACGAAAGCTCTCCCATAGCCCTGAATGTGACGACGACGACGACGTGGCGATTATCCATGAGAAAGGCCAGGTTTGTTTATTAGGATTCTTGGGTCCTCTGTTTTTTCTGGACATTTTGAAGCTTTACACGTCTCTTTAGCACAATTAGTGATTTAGGGTTTATGTCTCTGTTTTTCGATTTTTAGGTGGCTTGTAGGGATTTTCCACATCCGAGGCATCTCTGCTTGAAATTCCCCTTTGAATCAAGTCAACACGGATCACATTGTAATCAGGTAATGATGATCTTTTGGATGTTGAAACTTCTTGGTCCTTTTTTTAGATCTTGTTTGGGTTCTGATGTGACACAATAGTCTAATGTTTGTTTTAATGTGTCTAGTGTTACTGTTATGTTTGCGATGTGGCTGCGCCTTGTGCCAATTGGACGGTTAGTTATGCTACACCGCATTGTGAGGCATTAGAGAACGCTAGATGGAAGCCTATACGAGATTTGTGCCGCCTTGATGCTCGCCGTCGTGTAACCACTAACAAGTGAAGACTTCTCTCATGTGATTTTGAGATTGATGAATAAGAGTATTGTTGTCTTCTAATGCCTATCTTCAGCTGAATGTTTTGCTTACTGAAGAAACCTTTTTTTGTAAAATCGGTTATTGAGTTTCTTATAAATGGTTTTAGATTTCACTACTTCGCATGACAGTTAGTCAAAGACTATTGACCATTAATAGATTGGAGATTACAAGCTATGGAAAAATAGAAAAATAAAGACTTGGACAAACCAAGATATCTACATATTGAGACAGAATCTAACGAATTAGAACTTAAAAGTCAACGAGATAAGAAGAGAAGTCCGGAACCGGAGAAGAAGAAGGACGAGGTAAGGAGAAACCACCAATGTAAATAACACTCCGGTCATGGGGACGCCGGGGAAGAATTCCGGAGACAACTTTGGCGAGAGCAGCCGTGTACTGGTCAAGTATCTCAGCAAATATCACTACTGCAAACATTGTTTAGAGAAAAACTAATTCCGAGGAATAATGTAGAGTATCAAAAAGTTATTGTGGAATAATATTCAATGGATCTCTGAATATTCGGATCGAGATGGATTTTTGTTGGTAGTGCCGTAGTGGATAATGAAGAAGGTAAGTTATAGGATGGATATGGATTATAGGCGATGTCGTCGGTCATGTGGGTGTGTGTGGACTAGAGATTCTTGTGTGTGGCCTCGTGTCACAATTTTTTATCCGCGTGGACTTGGACGGTACGAATATCTCTACTGTTTTTGTGTTTATTTTATATTTTAAAAGTAATACTATCTGTAAAGAGTATAAATTTGACCTTTAAACGTTAATCTCAACTGTTCCTTGGTTCTAGAATCTCCAACAAGTCAAAAATGAACTAATTGAAAATGATGTTCTTCTTTTTAGGACACCAAACATTGGATCTTGTTTTAAATAGTTTCTGTCCATATTTGTTCTATACACATAGTATGACAGTTGAAATAAGAAAATTATAACGAAATACTATACGATACCAATTATTATTATCAGTTAGTATCAATCAACCTCTAACAATAAAATATTGATGGAAGTTGACATGTTTCTTTACTAGACATGTCACAATTTTGGTCCAAACGAATTAATACAGTGGCAATAATAGCTGTAACAAGTTGTAGTGAACCGATGAGATGAGAGACAATAATTCAATTCAAAAATACCCTAATAATAGTTGTGTGGGTTCTGTTTTGAACCTTGTCGAAGTCTCGAAGAGATTAGTTGTAAAAATGGACATAATTTGTCATGAATGATACTATTAATCAACACATAATTATAATTTAATTAAATGGTAGCCGAGTGATAAAGGCGGGTCCTTATTTCCACACATTAACGGCTGATATCATGACGCGTTTTAGCTAATCATAATGACGGCCAAATTAAATAGCGTGTGAATGGTCTCTTTCTCATATACTGTTCATACTTCACCACGTCGTTTTATAATGGTTAATGAATACAATATTGGGAATTTTAAGATTCCAACTCTATTACAAATGCCAAGGCTTCAAAACTAAAATATATGGTATACCTTAATCCATAACATCTAAATTAAATCGTTAACAAATCTTTAAACCTAAACAAATAAGTATATTTTTATTTTAAAATATGTATACTATATGTTAGTTTATAATTATATATTATATGTGTGTCTCAGTTATTTTTTATATTCCTTCCGTTCTTTAATAAGTGATATTTTAAGTTTCTAATTTTGTTCTTAAATAGATGATGTTTTCAGTTTTCAATGCAAAATTAATTATTTTTTTATTGGTTTTGACGATTTATATTCTGTAGATTATTTTTTATTGGTTGATTAGATAATAAATGATGTTTTAGTTTAAAAATAAATAAAAATTAAATAATTTTTTAATCGATGTACATTTTTCACAAACATCACTTATAAAAGAATGGAGGGAGTAGTAAATACTATTAAATATTATTGTTCATTAGTCAATTACTATTTTTCAATTTTTTCTTCTAGTTATACCCACCATAAGCACCGTTAATTTAATAGGAAAATGACATTTTATTTTTGTTCAGTCTACTCTTTAGGGTAGTGACTAATTTTCTATCCACGTATTTTTGTTTTGATATTTTTTTAGATTTTATTTCTTTGTTTTTGTGGATGCAAGTTGTTTTCACATAAAATTAGTGTTGATTATTTAGTGGATGCTATTTTCTTTCCATTTGTCTTTTTCATATGTCGTTTATGCAAAACCTAAATTGGGTTTTAAGTGTAACATACAAAAAGGAAGAAGCCAAACTGCATTTATATATCAAAAAGTAGCCATATGGATGGATAGAAATCGGGTGAACCCAATCGTGGATCAAGCTGGGCACCGCAGTTCTCATATAAAACTTGCATACACTTATAAATGTTTAAAATGATCAGAGCTGAAGAACATAACATAAACTAATTGCAACATAAAACTACTGCAAGCAAATGAGTAGGATGGGTTAGCTTTTGTAATCGGTAGATTAGCTTGTAATCTTGTTATTGAATGAAATCTTCACATTAAAACCAAAAAAAAAAAAAATGAGTAAGATGTACTTAAAATGATCAACTAAAAGTATCAAGTGGAAAATTGATTAATGACCTCGATGAACTGAATAAAAGAGCAATGACTCACGAACACTCAAGTATATTAATAATCTCTGAGAGATAACGGAAAAACAAAATATTTTTTTAAAAATCATATATGAAAATATAATGGCATTTAATGTGAACCTTAATATTGTTTTTTCTCACAGTTGACATATGTATTGTCCAAGGTTTAAATCAAAACAAAAACTCACTAAGATACTTACTAGTTACTACTAGCTAGGTTACAAATTCGAATTTGCGTAGTATATCTTACACAAACAAATTATACAAACCCAACAAAAAAATTGGATAGCTAGATCTGAAAGTGAAACACATATTAATTCCGATATGAAATCAACAATTGGATATCAATCACAAAATAATTAGTGGCAAATGTTGATGTAACATTGTAACTAGTGAAAATTGATTGAATATATAACCTTGGTTAATTGCAATAAACTATACCCCATTCTCAAAAATAAAGATAGGAAGGAAGGCCGGATTAGAATCTAAATTACACTGAGAACGACAGCTTGGAAATGTAAATGATCCATTCATTTGTCTTGGTTCCATAATGGCAAAATTAGAAAGAAAAAGAAAAAGAAGGAAGGAATACCGAATTCACCACAACCACAAGATTTTGAAATCCTAAATAGAGACACGTCTCCGAGTAGTTTGATGTTTGTGCTTTTGTCTCACAAAATCCATACACTTTACTTTAGACTACCTAATTCCTTTCCCCCTTCAATTTTCTCAAATATCTCTCTCACTCTCTACATGTATATATCAATGTAACTACAACGTTGACACTTTTTATCAATTACATAAATATTTATTTTTAAAGTAATAAATTAGGTCACCCCCCTGGTAGTTGATTGTTTTCAATTATTAGAAAAATGGAATTGACCAGTCATTCCCTACCTTATATCAACTGTGTTTAAATAACCACATATGTCAATTTTAAAGATACGAGTGAATCGCCTTAAAGGCTGAAGAAGATAAAATGGTCCATAGTAAGACGAAAAGCCTGACTTTAATACCGGTACGAGTTGCATGAATTTTCTTCCCTAACTCTTTTAGTTTGTGTGGACTGGACAATGGTTATAATTGATATTTAAGTGTAGTTCTTTTTCATCAACGTAGTTCAAATGACATTTCACACAAAATATTAGCTATATATTATTAAAAATTACATAATAAATTTACAAAAAAAATCTCAATATAGTTACCGTTATATATTTTCCAAAAAAAAGTTAAAATTTTCCTTTATATTTTTTTACTCACAATTGACATATGTATTGTCCAAGGTTTAAATCGAAACAAAAACTCACTAAAATACTTACTACTAGCTAGGTTACAAATTCGGAGATTTGCGTCATATATCTTACACGAAAATTTTTTACAAACCCAACAAAAAAATTGGATAGCTAGATCTGAAAGTGGAATGCAGATTAATTCCGATATAAATCACAAAATAATTAGTGGCAAATGTTGATGTAACATTGTAACTAGTGAAAATTGATTGAATATATAACCTTGGTTAATTGCAATAAACTATACCCCATTCTCAAAAATATACTACACGATATAATGTTTCTTTTATTTTCTAAGAGGGCCTCTACACCAGTGGCTCTCTTCTAGGTGAAGTGTCTCCCTCCCCCTTGTAGGAGGTTACTTATATTATTATGGTCGTGGCCTCGTGGGGCCTAACAAACAAAACACATTTTCTATCTTTCAAAAAAAAATTAATCATCGATAAATTCTAATATATAGTTCGATTCTGCTTTATTCATTTTACTAATAGCAATCCAGAGGATAATTTTATTTCTTAAAACAAGTTAGTAACTTCATTTGTTACTCTCAAATACAACCAATCGAAATACAATTAATTGCCTAATAATGTTTTAAAAGGGAGTTAAGAAAACTATGTGTCCTAAGTTAAACAGGATTATCAGTTTATAATAAAACAGAGCAGGAAGATTAAAGAGTTAATCATAGTTTCTATTATAACTCGATACATATTTTACAAACTCTGAGCCATTCAAAATCCAGAAAAATATTCTACAGACGGAGAGATCAGATCAGACGCCCAGAAAAAAGTCTCGGCCGCCAGAATCTCCGGTGAAAAAACAAAATTTAGATCAAGCGTAGCGCAGAGATCAGAAATCGACGAGATGAGAAGAAAAGTCTGGAACAGGTGAGGATCTAGGAGGACAAGGCAGAGAGAAACCACCAATACGTAGAACATTCCTGTCGCCTTGTCGTCTCGGAAGAACCCCGGCAGTGAGTTTAGCAAGAGCCGTCGTGTACTCCACCAGTAACTCAGTAATGATTACAACAGATATCATGATTAGGATTCGCCGGAAGGTAAAAAAAAAGGGTCTAGAAGTTTCTGAAGTTTGTTATCTCTCTGAATAGAAATTGAATGGTGGTTGGAATCTAAAGACACACCCACTCATGGGTTTATATAGGCCATTATTTTATGCTCCAGTGGTCCAGAAGTTACTCGTACACGTATTTAGCTTTTTAAATTTTGGCTTTATGAATAATAAGCCGCGTGTCACGCGTTGTGGATAATAGTCAGTGTTGGCAAGAAGACAAAAGTGAGCTGTTACTTACGAAGTCAGTACTTAGTACCATACCCCAATTAAAAACATGTATAAAATACTAACACCGTATCTCTTTTAACTTTTTTTTTGGAGCATTTTTATATAGAGATATTTTTAGCTACAAAAGTATTTTTTTTTTTTTTGTGGTACCTATAAAAACAGTTAACGAGTTAATCTTTCAAGTTTTTTGAGGTAACACATTGATCATACAAATACGATGACTTTTTTTTTGTGACGATCTAGAAAATCAGTTAACCAGCAAACCAAAGTAAAATTAAAAACTAGCCGAGTTCGCCCTAAAACTTTCTCCCAGACACGATTACCAAGGTAGCCGCTAGCCTTGGAGGAGATGAGTTTCTTCCATCGTCGTTGCTCCTCCGGCAGCTTAGTTCTCTGATCGGTGTTGCATAGAAGGTGAGATCTCTCGGGTGAGCCTCCTTCCGGCGAGCCTACTCCCTGAGATGACTCCTTTTCCTCTGTCTTTTTCGAGCCACTCTCGTCCTTTCCCGAAGCTTTCGGTTTCTTTCCTCGATCTGAGGCCTCCTACGGCACCTCCAACGGAGCGTCCATCTCCGTCGACTCCGCCAGAACCGCCAGATCTCCGATTTCGCGTCTTGTACGGTGTCTCTTATGCTCAGCCACCACTGGCCGCCGTCTCGTCCTTGTTCATTGCTCCTATTCCGTCTCCATCGTTAGATCTTTCTTCTCTGTGTGTATCTCCGGTGGCCGCTTTTTTTGCGCTACTCCAAGCAGCCATTAAAGTCTCTGCCAGTGACTGTCTTGGCGGGGACTTGCAGTCGTTTACTGCTCTGTGCAGCGGAGTCCAAACTCCATCGATTGTCCCCACCGCTATTCTTCCCTCTGTCCCCCCTGGAAGTCTTGTTGTCGTCATCAGATTCCTCGCTTTCGCCGTGAACTCCTGGGATTGGTTTGGTTTGGTTCAGCCTTGCGTGTCCTTATGTGACAGGTATGTTGCCTTCCCGTGTGCTCCGACTGCTGTAGGCATCTCGTGGGTTGGATTCGTCATGAACTGCGTGTGCACATGGATTCAGACCGGCTCTCTCCCCAACGGGCAGCCCCGACCCTCATGGGCTCTCCTTTCCATCTACATGACGTCGGAAGGTTTGGTATTTGTGACCCTTTGCTATGGGTTACATAGGCCTAGTAACAGCCTTCTGTTAGTTCCCAATTACCTCAGTATGAGGATTTATCAGTTTCAAGTACCTCATTATGAGGATGTGTTCAAATATGATCAAAACCTTGTTAGAATGGTTGTAAGGTCTCCTAAGGGATGGCACTTTGTTAGACAGCCTTTGGAGATTATTATTTCTGGTTTTGGTTTTGATTTGAAAAGTGCAGGTTCGAGAGAGAGCGTTGGCGTCCTTTCTGTTGTGGATGGTTTGTGTGCAAGACTAGGCTTCACGGAAGAGAACATCTGTGTCATAAAGTCCCAACTAATCCAGCCACCACCTCAGAAGATGGAAGTGTTCTTGAGCTTCTCGGAGGCAGCATGGTTTCAATCCAAGATCTTCTGCGGGTTGGGCTGGTGTTTCAAGGACCCACTCAACGGAAAGATCCACCATGGATCTTTTTCAAGACCCTTTGTGCTCTCTGTTCTCGTAGCGGAGGCACTTGCTCTCAAGGCGGCTTTCATGGCGGCTTTAGCATTGGGTGTATCAAGGCTGGCTTGTATTTCGGATTGTCGGGAGCTTGTTCTTCTTTCCAATACCGGTGGCCATGCAAACGAACTAGATGGCATATTAGCGGATTTCGATCTCTTTCGTTCTATGTTTTTGTCTACGTTTGTTCATTTTGTTCCAAGGTCTGAAAACTATGGAACTGAGGCTTTAGCAAATGCTAGCCTATTATCTTGTATTTTCTCCTCCATCGGTGGAGTTTGAGTTTTTTATTAATGTTATTTTGGTTTAAAAAAAAAAGAAAATCAGTCAACCAGTCATCGTATTTGTATGATCAGTCAACGAGATTTCCTAAACTAATTTTGTGACATTTTTCTTTTTGAGATAATGCATTGAGCATACAAATTTGTCATAATTAAGTACGAAAATTCCTGATTTCTGTGGCAACTTAGAAAATCAGTCATCAAATCTTTGAAATAATGCACTTAACTAATTTCCTATAAATATGACATAAAAACGATTTTTTAGAAAACAGTCAAGAAATCTTTCAAGTTTTTGAGATATTGGCATAATGCATAAATACGAAATTTATTAATATGGTAACTTAGAAATCAGTCAACAAATTCTTTTCAGTTGTTTTAGATAATGCATTGATCATAGAAATATGACATAAATACAAAAATTATCTTTATGATAACTTAGAAAATCAGTCAACGAATCTTTCGACTATTTTGAAATAATGCATCAATATCAGACTAGAGTAAAGCTCACAGTCCACAGACAATGGCGGTCGAATCGTTTGTGGTTTCAAAAAGTTTATGTGGTTTTCTGTCAGGAAAACTAGATTTGCACAAAATGTTTTTCTTAACGTTCAGTTTTTTCCTACGTTAATTAATCATAGGAGCCCAAATATGATGACTTGTCATCGTCATAGCACGTAAAATGAGTCGAACATTTCGGTATCAGAAATTAATATCAGAAATTAAGAAAATCAGAGAGAAAGATATCAAAATCATAGTTTTCTATTATATAATATCCAATGGGAATTAAAAAACATCTTCAGCTGTCACTCTTCAAATTAATTAAATAAAAGGGTGTAAGAAAAAGAGAAAAAAACCTCGATCAAAAAAGTAGTAAAAAGAAAGAAAAAAAATCCACAATCGTCACATATCAGAAATCGACGAGATGAGAAGAAAAATCCGGAATCGGTGATGATCTAGGAGGACAATATATAGAGAAACTGCCAATCCGAACGACGTTCCCATCACCTTGCCGTCTCGGAAGAATCCCGGCGGTGAGTTTACCCAGAGCCGTCGTGTACTCCACTAGTAGCTCAGTAATGATTACGATGGAGATCATGATCAATTTTTTCGGAATATTCGCCGGAGAATAATGATCTAGAAGATATATGTCTCTTGAAATCTCTACCCTTTCAGACAAAAGATGGAATTTTGTTGTTATTATAACTTGTGAAAAGAAGAGATCTCTTTATATAGGAGTGGACCAGAGTTTCTCCTCTTACGTCGGTACTATCGTCACTTACTCGGACTCGTGTTTCATATTTTAATATGTTTTCGCTTTACACATTAACAAATAATAAGCGCGTCTTACGCGCAGTTCACATTAGCATAACATTAGCTGTTCTCTAATCTTCTGATCATCAAATGGATTTTGTTTACTAATATTATAATTTAGGAGATACATCATTGTCATGAAAACTACACTTCTAGAGATAAATAAATAAAAGTTCGGAACACTTTTATCACATCATTATAGATTCATAACTCGATTCTCTTGTGAAGTTTTTAGCATAGAACCAAAGTATGAAATTGAGCTCGTTTTCTTCGGTTTCATAAAAAAAAAAAAAAACAATTTATCATTATTTTTATTTCTTTTTGTCAAAGAAATTTATCATTATCTTCCAGATCCTTAAAAATCGTCCGTCCAACAAGATAAGAATGGCCGGGATATGTAGTCTATAGACGAGGACAGTACAACACATATATACCTTTGACTAAATTAACGTAAACAAGTAAAATTTTTATAAAGGTCAATTAAAGAAAAGTGATGTAACCGTGTGGTCATCAATAGTAGAGAATGTTCCAAAACATCACATGTAGTTAAGACTTTTTTTTGCTAGGTATTAGAGTTAGAGTTAAACCCTAACTTCACTATTTGCTGATACTACGAAGTACGAATTCTGTGTATCCATGAAAATATATCCAACTTCTTAAATTGCTGAAAGCTAAAGTTCACCTTCCGATATAAGTACTGTGGACCAAATTTACATCCTATCTGGTTTTCGATCGTCCCATCTTGTTTCATTATCGATTTCGAATTCACATTTCCATTTAGAACAAGATTTTAATCTCCCTTTTGGTAATGAGACGGGACAAGAACATAAATTTGTAAGACTAAAACCATGTATGATTTGTATTCTGGTTCATTTTCATAAATGATGCTAATCAGAAACAAACTTAAATATTGAATTTTCATCATTACCTTGTCTTATCATTTAGTTTGCTAATGATTGTTATATATTGAATTCTGGTATCTGTTTTCTTTCTCGCAAAATACCGTTTGTCTACCTCTTATCTTTTCCATTGTTTAAATTAAATTACTATCGTTTTCAACCGTCCAAAAGGACCAAAACATGGAAACAAATTTCTCTAGACTGTATGTTGAACATTCCGAGTGAAAAAAGATAAATTAATGCTCTCTCTTAATTAATTAGTCAAATGCGACTTATATCCAAATTTGAGACCATAAAATCGTCAAATGAGCCATCGTTCACAAGTTCGACCATCGTCATCATTAGTTAGGTAAAATCAGAAATTGAGAAACGCAGGAGAAGATGAGAGGAGTCGTTCCATCAAAACATCATATAATCTCTATTACTATTAAATTTCGATACAGATTTACAAAACGATTCAAAATCCAGAACGTGGAAAAATCTCAGCCGTCCAATCTTCGATTAGATCAAAAAGAGAAGAAAATCCGAAATCAAAATCTTTGTTCGTCTACTACAGATCAGAAATCAACGAGATGAGAAGAGAAATCTGGAATCGGCGACGATCGACTACTAGTACTCGACGGAGAAGGACAAGGCAGAGAGAAACCACCAATCCGTACAACGTTGCTATCGCCTCGCCGTCTCGATGGAAGAATCCCGGCGGTGAGTTTCGCGAGAGCCGCCGTGTACTCCACTAGTAACTCAGCGATGATTACAACAGAGATCATGATCGATATACAGAAATTGGAAGATTCAGGTAGAGGAATTTGCAGGAGAAGAAGAAGGATCTACAAGTCTCTGATCTTTTGTGTGATTGGTGGTGTTGTGGCTTGTGAGAAATGAACATCTCTCTCTATCTCTTCCTATATATACGAGTAGGTCTCCGTTACTGTTAGTTAGTGACACGGTCTCGTCTTTTTTTTTTTTTTTAATATTTTTGTTTAATTAAAAAAAGAAGAAGAGAAAATTAACCGCGTCGGTTGCGCATTATAATATTTTTAATATTAGCTGTCTCTCTAATCTCTACCGATTATAATAAAAAAAAAATGTTTTTTATTTACTAAAATAAGTCACCAAAACCAAATCGTCGTTGTCAAAAAAACTACATGTCTTCTAGAGGGACCAGCAAATGTACTACTACTTGGCTATATTTTACTACAACGCTTTGTCAAAAAAAAACATTGAAAGTAATTTGATATATTAGTATAAAATACAAACTTACAAGTAATAATATGCTGTTCACGGTAAACTTGTCAACTCTAGTTGTGTTTAATTTCCTGCTAAACTTGCAAATAAAAGTCATTTTTGAATCATAATTGACTGATTTTACACGTTTAATATTCGGTTTAACTTTTATAATATATGAGTCGTGTCATGAGTGTAAATAATATATATTTTAGAACTGAATTTTAGAATTATAATTTGTTTGCCACTGCAAAATTTTACTGATAACTTTACAAAACTACTGTATGGGTTGTCTACTTGTCTTGCATAAACTAAAAATTATGATCTATGTAGTAGTTGTCAATATTATTAATAGAGTATGACAATATTATTTTGATAAACTAAAACAATGCTATATTATTTTGTTTGGTTGGAGGTTTTATTGCACTTAACATATTTGTTTTATTGAGAAAACCACAAAACCAATAACAAGGAGATGGGTTTAGGAATTTACTAGTTTATGATTGGAGCTCTAATCACAAATTATCTGACATAGCATTGGATTATGAATATAGATTTATAGCATATTGTTAAAAATATATGATAGGGTACTAGATGTATCTATTTTGTGTGAGAATAGCAAATATCTTGTCTTATTCTCTGATGAAGCGAGATTATAATTTATTAATAGAAAAGACTACCGTTTGGTGTCAAGAAAAGAAAAAAAGTATCGGTTATAAAATTGGTTAGGATTATATCAAGCTTTTTGTGTTCACAACTTGGCTAATGTTCTACAGTCACATAATTAACATTAGTTTAATCAACAATGTGGAATCATATAAAGTTAGGCAATTTTTAATTTGATATGAGTTGTAGTCGATTGTAACAATCTGAATGAAATCTTTGTTAAATATTAAGTATTATCTTAGCTCTGACCTAATCTTTGATGACACATATCTAGTGGAGTGCCAATATGGCAATATCCTGTTATATTTTAGTTTTAAAGATGATTTTACAATAGACAATTTTATATGCATCCTAAATATCTATGATAGAGGGTTTTAAAACTTCTAGGGATGTTGTTTATTATGTGTAGTTGTATCTTAACACCAAAGCTAAATGAGAGAAATAAGACATGCCATACTTGATCATAAATATAGCATTCATAGATTTTGGATATTTTAGCCGACAAATAGTTTTTTTTTTACTTAAAACCTTGAAAAGTTTTTAGAAACACCATTTTGAATTCGCATGTAACTCTCTAGATGATTTTCTTCCTATCTTGTTTAATATTTGTATTATCTCTAGCTAATTTTGAATTTATATGTATTTTTCATGTTTATTACTCTCTCTGTCCCATTTTATAAGATGTTTTGTGTGTAAACACAAAAATTAAGGAATAATGTTTATTTTTTATAAGAATTTAGCCAATAAAAAATAGACTGCAGAATTTAAATGGTCATAACATACTAAATAAACATAAATTATGCATAAAAATCTGGAGAAATCCTATAAAATGGAACAAAGAACAAATGGTAAAACATCCTATAATTTGGGACAGAAAGAGTATTAGAAATAAATTAATTGATATCTCTTTTTTTTTTTTGGATTCTTTAACACAAGAGGAGTTATCACATTTGCAGATTCTTAAGCACTAGAAGTCTAGAATTTCACTCCATATTTCCAGAATTTTTTAATAATAATAAATATTATATAACCACCTTATTATATCAAACAAGACTATATTACCGACAATTTACTAAATTTTTAATTAATTAAATTGCGATAGTTGACAAAAAAAAAAAATTGCGATACATACCTATTAGTTGATGTGATTTTATACATAACTTTTTGTTCCCAAGTAATTTTCGACACACTTTCCAAATACTTATGATTTTCTATTTCTATTTTTAATTAAAGCTTCCTATTCCTATTTTTTTCCACTGTACAAACTGATTTTTTTCTATCCTTATTTGAATTATAAGTATATAGGAGTAATACTTTTTTTTCTACTATAAAAAATAAGAGCTATTATTTTTTTTGACATCTGGTAATTGACATTGGAAAGCTGTGAAACGAATCTTCGAAATCGAAACTGCGTGGCTCTGCAGCAGCTTACGACCACTGACCCTTTTGATTCCGATTCAATCGAAAGACGACGGATACAAGTTCTCGCCATCGCCGAGCCGGAGCCGGAGTCTGAGCTGACCCTGAGGCCGGTGTCCGTAACTCTTCCAATAGGTTTGTAATTTATGCCTCTTCTGATTCATGACCCGAGTACTAAAAAATCGAACCTTTTTCGAGACTAGTGTTAATCTCTGTCCTTATGCCTCGCTAGACTCTGTTAGTGGAGATACCTTGAGAGATGAAGATCGTTCGCAGGGATTTTGTTCGTAATGGACCCGGAAGCGTTAAGGTTTGATTGGTTCCTTCTTCATCTAGGATTAGTTTTGAGCTCGTGTTATAAACTAGGGCAATTCAAATTCTTTGCTGATATTTTGTTTTTGTCCTTCTGGGTGTTGACAACTTCAATTGAGGGTAGATGGTGGCAGAGGACTCTGATGATTTGTGGTATGCTTATAACTTGATTGCGGTGGGAGATAGTGTAATGGCTGTCACTTTCAGGTACGGTCTCCTTACGGTTTTCACTGCCTTTCTTTCTTACATGGTTGTTCTCCTTGTTAACTTCTTGAGCCACTTCCATTGAAGGGTTAGGCAAACATGCTTTGCTTTTCTCATTAAAATCATGTATCACATTAGAAAAGCAAGAGTTTCATGAAAATCCATAAGGAGTAAAGGGAATTGGTTTTTGGTTAACCAATTTAGTGTCATGAAAGGAGTTGGTAGTTACGATTTTTTCTTGCCTGCTATCAGAAAAGTTCAGAGAGAGATACCTGGTGGGGGAAGAGACTCTGAACGTGTTAAACTGAAGTTGGAAGTACAAGTTGAGGTATGATTCTAACCCCTAAGGGATTGGTATGCAAATTTGTTAATACCTTTGTATTGTAGAAACCTTTTTTTTTTTTTTTTTCTTTTTTTTTCAAATATCAATGCTTAAATTCGCAATGACCATAAATACACTATATTACTTTACAGTCATTTGCGTAATAAAATCAATATTACTTACATATGTTACTTTTTATGGTTGTCTTTTGCCCTTTAATCTTGTTACTCTTGATAGTGGAAGATATCTTAGTCTAATTTCATGGAATGAATCTGATTGTCTTCGGTTCTCTTTATTTGTTCAATTAGGAGGTGGACTATGACAAAGACGGATCTGTTTTGCGCATACGTGGCAAAAATATCCTGGAGAATGAGCACGTAAAGGTAGATGCAAGGTTGACTTTAACCCTATAGATTTTTCTGTGCTGAGCTTGTGTTTTATCGCAGATTGGTGCATTCCATACTTTGGAGCTTGAGCTGAAACGACCTTTTGTATTGAGAAAGGTAGATGTCCTCTTTTTACTATTTTTTATCCTCCAGAAGTTCTGTTCTATTTCTACTTTGTATGTGTGACAGGATGTGTGTCTTGTAATATAGATTATATTTTATGAGTAACGCAATGCACCCTGGTGTAGTGTGGATACCATTTGCAAGCTAATATCTGTAGATGCAGCACCACTTAATGTTAATGTTTAAAATTTGGGTTATATATTCGATAACCATCAAGATTTATTTTGTAATGCTTAGAGATATAATTACCTTTAAATATGGTTATTAAAGTGCACGATCCCATTCTTAAGAGTTTTAAAAACTAGGTAAAGGCTGTCTTACAGTACACAGGTCTTGATGTTTTTTCTGTAGCAGTCTGCTTAGCGTGTTGGTGATTAATTTGAACTTTGAAATCCCCTTCTTATATTAAAACTTCATTTGTAATCGTAGTGTGTACATGGCTAATTTGCAGGAAATTTGGGACTCAATGGCTCTTGATACACTCAAGCAGGCCTCAGGTATGCTGCTCCATTTATTCCTCCTAATCTTAATTGTCACAAAACTGGGAAGGTGTCCGTGTTGATTGGTTGGCACATGATCCAAGATCTGTCTCCTTGTGGTCTAGTCTAGTAGACATCAAATCCAAGGCATTAGTTTACAAAATTTTACATGCAATATACCAGAACTCTACTTTTCTCTCCATTTTATCTTATGCTCTTAGGCCTGCAAGTCAATTTAGTTCCTTTCCTATTTTTATGTGGCTGTTCAGACGAAAAAGCATTTTTCTTAGAAATTTTTTAAGCCTCTAAGACCCTTGCTTATCCATCAACAAGCCTTAACACGCTTTTAATAAACCCTCCAGCCAATCTTTCACAAACGTGATTTGTGCCCCGTTAAGCCTTTTTCATTTTAAAAGCTAGTGGTTCAGTATGTCATGTGCTTTGATCTCATGTTATCTCCCATATTTTCTTCCGGGTTCAAATTTATTTAACTTGTCTTATGCACAGATCCCGCTGCTAGTGCTGATCTAGCTGTAGTTCTAATGCAAGAAGGACTGGCACAAATCTTCCTTGTCGGCAGAAGGTACTGGTTGCACTGACAATGTCCTTTGTCTGTAGAATTTGTTATTTCCTAGTTTTTGTTTTGACAACATGTGGTTCTCTTTTTTCACCTGGGTAGTTTTCGCTGAACAAGTATGAAAGGGGTCAAATAGAATCATCCAGTTCTGTTCTTGTTTAATTCGTTGTCTTGTTTGGCAGTGTGACAAGTAGCCGTGCACGAATAGAAACATCCATTCCTAGGAAGCATGGACCTGCAATTGCTGGTTACGAGTCTGTATGTTCCTTCGCCGTTTCGTCATATATGTGCCCAAAATTCGTTTACATATAATCCCTTCAATTTATGTGTATTTTGTTTCTCTGTAGGCTTTGAAGAAATTTTTTGAGAATGTTCTGCAGGTTTGTTTAGCTCTCAGAATGTTGATGTTTTCTTTTTTTGTTTTCTAAAAACATACCACAAAAAAAGCGCTCCAGAGTTTCACATTTCTAAAAGTCTATCGCAATATCACAGGCCTTTGTGAAACATGTTGACTTCAGTGTCGTTCGCTGTGCAGTGATTGCAAGTCCCGGCTTCACAAAGGTTTTCTTTTTGTCTCTCGAAGACGATTTCTAAATTTTCATGGTTAATCACTTTTCAAATTGCAGCTGGACAAGGCTTACAAATTTCCCATACATATATGACACACATGACCGTTTGATTGTTTCATTTCTTCAGGATCAGTTTCATCGCCACTTATTGTTGGAAGCAGAAAGAAGACAATTGAGACCTATCATTGAGAACAAATCACGTATAATATTGGTGCACACAAACTCTGGATATAGGTAGTGTTTCTGTGAAATTGTTCATGAAACCTGTCAAAAATGTGTTCTGCCATTCTAAAATATTACTGAAAGCTCAGAGATCTCTGCTGTGGATCTAAGTTGCTATCTGCTGGATAAACCTAATAATTTGTTTAGCAGGAAAATTCATACACTTGTTTTATATTTTTGTTAACAATGTTCAAATTGACCAGGTTACCTTACTTTAGTTATGTTTTAATTCATGCTCCTGGTGGCTATCAGTGTTAAACAGTTCACTCTTCTTGTTGTATTTTTTTTTGCTTGTTCACTTCTAAACAGCCTGTTATTCTGCTCATGCAAATTTTCTTCGATTTGTGACGTTATGTTTTGGTGCACAGACATAGCCTGGGCGAGGTTCTCCATGCTCCCAACGTGATGAATATGATCAAAGATACTAAAGCAGCAAAGGAGGTGATTTAGAATGTTATCTTTTCAATATTTTTTAATTGCTCATTCAAAACTGGGTAAGGTTAAAAGGGTCTTTATCGTCATTTGGGTATAATATGTTCTAGTTGCTTATTTGAATTCATGTTAACCAAACCAGTCAGCTATTCAAAGGCTCAGTTCGATCATTTTGGTTTTATAGAATGTATGGCCTGTCAAATAAGTGCTGTTCTGTAGTCATCTCGTTACAAGGAAAGCTTATAGTTAGGTCACCGGGAGGCATTAGGATTCTCTAAGCAACATTAGTACACTACCATGAGTGGTATTGGTCCATAGTAATCATTTGCTCTTATCTTCTCTAAGAAAGAACACTGTATGAGGTCAGTAGTAATAAACTAGATATTGATGGATAAAATTCTCGTAAGCTGAATGGTGGATGGAAGAAGCTTCTTCTAGATCATATTTATGCTCACTGTTTTGTGAATTTTGATCTCTGTTATCTGCATTTGCTATTGAAATGTACCTTTGTCATCCCCCTGCCTGATGTGAATTTGCCTATTGCAGGTTAAAGCTCTCAACGATTTTCACACCATGCTTTCAAATGTCAGTTTTTATTTTGCAACGAACAGAAAGATTCTCTTTTAAGAATCTCTCAATATGCATTGATATCCTTTTGCTTTTTAATCCAGGATCCAGATCGGGCATGCTATGGACCAAAACACGTGGAAGTTGCTAATGAACGAATGGCAATCCAAACGCTTCTCATTACGGACGAGCTTTTCAGGTTTAGTAATGGAAGTGAATACCTGTTACAATGCGGTTTTTGTAGTTTTTAAGAGGCAAACGTGATTGATACTGACATTACAAATATGTAATATTGGTCCAGGAATTCTGACGTAAAAACAAGGAAGAAGTATGTGAATTTGGTGGAGTCGGTGAAAGATTCGGGAGGAGAGGCTTTTATATTTTCGGCGATGCATGTGTCAGGGGAACGTGAGTGTTGCTTCTTTCTTATGTTAGTTAATTTGTGATTAGATTATGTTTTTGTGCCAATAAGTGTTGATGAACTTTGCAGAATTGGCACAGCTGACTGGAATTGCAGCTCTTCTCAGGTTCCCTTTACCAGAACTCGAAGACATTGAGATGTAAAATATGTTCGGCTTACAATGCGCAACAAATCATATAGGTCTCATATTTTATTAGTTTGTTTCACTCAGTTTCATAAAGAGAGTTTTTTAACTCTTTACAAATTATAAGTTAAATCATTCGTTGCTGTCTATAAGAAAAAAAACCATAGAGTCAACAATGTGAAACGTTTTCTTTCTGATTTTTAAAACATATTTGTGGAGCACTATTGTATACATACAATTGATTTTGTAAGAATTATATGGTTCCGCATAAAAGTTTGGAAGAAATTTTCGAGTTAATTAGTCTGGTGGTCTCCTCTAACCAACAACTTAAGCTAACCTCCATAATTTTAAGTTTACCACCAAAAATAAGATACCAACCAATAGAAAAGTGAATAAAAAATATTACAAAACCCTCGCAAATTAAATAAAAAGGGCAAAAAATAGAAAAACCCTATTCGCTGTCTTGCTTGCTCCCACAACTTGAGCAGCCTCTGTTCTGTCTGCTTGTGAAGAGAAGAGAGATCAATCAACAAACAAACTATGGCGCAATCTCTCGAACTTCTCTTGATCCAATTCCTCATGCCTGACAATGATGCTCGGCGTCAAGCAGAGGATCAGATCAAACGTCTTGCCAAAGATCCTCAAGTTGTTCCCGCTCTTGTTCAGCATCTCCGCACCGCTAAAACCCCCAACGTCCGCCAGCTCGCTGCCGTCCTCCTCCGCAAAAGAATCACCGGACATTGGGCTAAGCTTTCTCCTCAGCTTAAGCAGCATGTTAAGCAATCCTTAATCGAGAGTATCACTGTTGAGAATAGGTTTATCTCTCTCTCTTTTCCTCTTCTATTGTTTCAATTGGGATTTGAGTTTTTTGATTCTTATTGAAAATTTTACAGTCCACCGGTGAGGCGTGCGAGTGCTAATGTTGTGAGTGTAGTAGCCAAGTACGCTGTTCCAGCTGGAGAGTGGCCTGATTTATTAACCTTTCTCTTCCAGTGTAGTCAGAGTGCTCAAGAAGATCATCGTGAAGTAACTTCCCTCTGAAATTCTCTGTCTCATGTTGTCTCTTTGATGGTTTTATTTTGTTCATTTAGGTAAAAATCTTATTTTGTTGTTTGTTGTAGGTAGCATTGATTCTTTTCAGCTCTTTGACTGAAACGATTGGGAACACATTTAGGCCATACTTTGCCGAGTTGCAGGCTCTTCTTCTTAAGTGTATGCAGGATGAAAGCAGTAGTCGAGTCAGAGTTGCTGCTCTCAAGTAATTTGTTTTTCTCTGGAATGTATAAATATTGCTCTTCTATCCTTATCTCTACTCTTTACAAGCTTCTGTAATTTATCAGGGCGGTGGGTTCTTTTCTTGAATTCACAAACGACGGGGATGAAGTGGTAAATCTCGTGACTTTTTCTTTCTGGTTAATGTTATATACATGTTCAAATATCTCCTAGTATCTGATTTAAAGACTGATTTGGAATATATGCTTATGTCATTTCTATCAGGTCAAGTTCCGAGATTTCATTCCCAGTATATTGGATGTATCAAGGAAATGTATTGCATCTGGAGAGGAGGATGTTGCTATACTTGCTTTTGAAATTTTTGATGAGCTGATTGAATCTCCTGCTCCCCTTCTTGGAGATTCTGTCAAATCAATTGTGCAGTTCTCTCTTGAAGTTTCCTGTAATCAAAACCTGGAAAGTAGCACCCGTCACCAGGTTTGAAGAATTATTCTCTTTCGCTTGAAATAGGTTCGAATTGTGATGTTATGATTACTTATGCCTTACTTCATTCATTTGCCAGGCAATCCAAATAGTTTCTTGGTTGGCAAAGTACAAATACAATTCCCTTAAAAAATATAAGCTAGTCATACCAGTTTTGCAAGTTATGTGCCCTTTACTTGCTGAGTCATCTGATCAAGACGACGATGATGATCTTGCTCCTGATCGTGCAGCTGCTGAAGTTATTGACACTCTAGCTATGAATCTGCCAAAGCATGTATTCCTCCCTGTTATTGAATTTGCTTCCATGCATAGTCAAAGTACAAACCTGAAGTTTCGGGAAGCATCTGTAACAGCTCTAGGTGTTATATCAGAGGGTTGCTTTGATCTGATGAAAGAGAAGCTGGACCTTGTTCTTAATATAGTCTTAGGAGCTTTAAGAGACCCTGAGCTAATGGTTCGAGGGGCTGCATCATTTGCAATTGGCCAATTCGCCGAGCATCTTCAGCCCGAAATCCTCTCACACTATCAGAGTGTCCTTCCATGCCTATTGAATGCGATTGAAGATACATCTGAGGAAGTGAAGGTAAAATTTAAAGGAACGAACTGAGTGTGGTTTGTGTCTTTTTTCGAAAATGCACCTTTCTGCCATGATTGTCACCTAAGTTTATTAGTAACATTTCTCATTATTGTCTACAGGAAAAGTCACACTATGCTTTGGCAGCATTCTGTGAGAACATGGGAGAGGAAATTGTTCCGTTGCTTGATCATTTAATGGGGAAGCTTATGGCAGCCCTTGAAAATAGTCCGCGTAATCTACAAGAGACATGCATGGTACACTGACAATCTTTGCCAGATTTTCTTTTGAACTGCTATCTGAAATATTGATTTAATCTACATGTTACTTGCTTGCAGTCTGCAATTGGGTCGGTTGCTGCTGCTGCAGAGCAAGCATTCAATCCATATGCTGAGAGGGTTCTAGAGTTGATGAAGTTTTTCATGATGCTCACCAAAGACGAGGATCTTCGTGCCCGTGCCAGGTCTACTGAGCTTGTAGGGATTGTTGCAATGTCTGTTGGGAGAAAAGGGATGGAGGCCATTTTGCCACCTTTCATTGATGCTGCAATATCAGTAATTGCCTTACTATATGTCTATATTGTATCTTTGAACTATATATGCTATTTTAAGGAAGAAAGAGCTCACAATCACAAAATACCAGGGATTTGAATTGGATTTCAGTGAGTTGCGAGAATATACTCATGGATTCTTCAGCAATGTAGCTGAAATATTGGATGACACTTTTGCCCAGGTACATTACTTTCAAATAGACTTCATAACAACTTTGACTCCAGTGATTAGGTTTAAAGTAAACAAAGTTTTTTTTTCCCGCAGTATTTGCCTCGCGTTATGCCATTAGTATTTGCTTCTTGCAATCTTGATGATGGATCTGCAGTGGACATTGATGAGTCAGACGATGAAAATGTCAATGATTTTGGCGGGGTATCCTCTGATGATGATGCTCATGATGAGCCCAGAGTTCGGAACATTAGCGTTAGAACAGGAGTTTTGGATGAAAAGGCAGCTGCAACTCAAGCTCTTGGCCTGTTTGCACTCCACACTAAATCTTCTTTTGCACCGTATCCTTTAACTTCCCCTTAACGATTTTTCTTCTTTGGAATTTTTACAAGAAACCTTTTTATGCTTCCTTAACTAACTTAAAAGCTATCTCGAGGAATCATTGAAGATTATGGACAAACATTCTGCATATTTTCATGAAGATGTTCGGCTTCAAGCAGTTACTGGTTTGAAACGTGAGTTTTCAATCTGTTGATTATTTGATATTCTGTCCCATTGATTGTCATTGTTTTTACTGGGCTGGAACTATGCTGACACAGAGGACCTTTTTAATAACCCTTGGTATCTCTTCCATGGGAGGGGATAGGTTAATTTTACTAGACACATAACTTAGTAAATGTTGTTTGATAGACACATAGCTTCTACCCAACATAGGTAAACTGGCCTGGTGATTACAATTACTAACAGTTGGGTGCCAATATTCCTTCTTGCACCCTTTGTTCAATGTGTGGTCAACTGTCTTATTAGAAATATGAAGCTCAGCAGATCTGTTAGTATCTAAAAGCTTACCTAATCTACGGGTTAGACTTGATAATGATTGTGGCATTACAGCTTGTCATTCTAATTTGAGTCTCTAAACTTATAATTCTTTATCTGTTGGAATTGCAGACATATTGGCTGCAGCGCATGCTATCTTCCAGAATCATAATGTAAGAACTTGACCATGCATATATCTAAACTCAATCTTATCTGAATTCCAGCCATGGTAGTTTCCTTTTTCTTAATGTTTGGCTCTTTTGTAGGATGGAACTGGGAAGGCAAATGAAATTCTTGGTAACACATACTACACAACATCTTTTCCGATTAACCACAAGAATGACGGGAAGATATTGAAATAATTTTTGTCCATCGCAGATACAGTTATGAATAATTATATCAAAACTATGACTGAAGATGACGACAAGGAGGTTGTTGCTCAGGCTTGCATGAGTGTAGCCGATATCATGAAGGATTATGGTTACGTAGCCATTCAAAAGTGTGGGTGTCTATTCTTGTTGGAGTCAATTTGATGTAAAATTATTTTCAGGATATTTAAATGATCCTTACTCATGTTTTATATGCTGTCAATGGTTTCTAGATTTATCACCCCTTGTTGACGCGACGTTGCTACTGCTGACGGAGAAAGCAGCTTGCCAGCAGTTAGAAGATGAGAGTGATATTGATGATGATGATACTGGACATGATGAGGTCCTCATGGATGCAGTTTCTGACCTCCTTCCCGCCTTTGCAAAGTGTATGGGTTCTCAATTTGAACCTGTCTTTGCCAAATTCTTTGAGCCGTTGATGAAATATGCGGTGGGTATTAGTGAATACAGTATTCATTGACATAACTTCTTCCATTGAAATTTAGGCACTTACTTTTTCACTTCTTGTGTCTGTAGAAAGCCTCATGTCCCCCACAGGATAGAACAATGGTAGTTGCTAGTCTTGCTGAAGTTGCTCAAGACATGGGTCCTCCAATCTCTGCCTATGTTGATGTAAGTTTCCTCATCTTATGTTCTCTATGATTGGTGTTTGAGCTGTATTAAACCAACTATTGGGAGTATTATTTTGCAGAGATTAATGCCGTTGGTGCTCAAAGAATTGGGCTCACCAGAAGCAACCAATAGAAGGAATGCAGCTTTCTGTGTTGGAGAGCTATGCAAAAACGGGGGTGAAACTGCTCTTAAGTATCCTTTTTGTGTTACATGCTTCAACTCTACTCTAGTCGTAAAGACTTTTATCCATTGATTTCTATGCTCATTCATCATCCTTCTGTTTTGGAAGATTATGAGAATTGTCAGTCCATGCTATACTTGTCTCCCTTTGACTCAATACCAGATATTTTGGTGATGTGCTACGTGGAATTTCCCCGCTTTTCGGGGATTCAGAACCAGACCTTGCTGTTAGGGATAATGCAGCAGGTGCTACCGCAAGGATGATTGTTGTTCATCCTCAACTAGTCCCGCTAAATCAAGTATGATCTTGGGGCTAGGCCATTTTCATTTATTTTCGCTTACTTCCTGAAACCTTATGAAACACAGTACTCATCCCTAAGTTATATAATCCAGGTACTTCCAGTGTTCTTAAGAGGTCTACCCCTAAAGGAAGATCAAGAGGAGTCCATGGCTGTTTACAGCTGTATATATTCCCTTGTTTCGTCATCCAATCCACAGGTATTTTTCTCAATGCAAAATTTTCACTTTTTGCTAAACATTAATTAGGGTGCATTTGTTAAAATTGTTTTGCTTGGATGCAAAACCAGATATTCTCTCATGTTCCGGAGCTGGTTAAAATCTTTGGGCAAGTACTGGAGTCGCCAGTCGAAAAAGTTGAAGTGAAAGCAATTGTAGGCAGAACTTTCTCCCATCTAATCTCGGTTTATGGGAATCAGTTGCAGCCAATAATAAGTAGTCTACCACCATCTCAAGCAAACGTTCTTGCTGCGTTTGTATCTACTAGTTGATTGTCGCTTGTGATATATTTATATCTCAGAAGCTAAATCTGTCTTCAGTTTTTGTTTTTCTTTTGAAGTCTATTCTTTGCTCATTTGAGTCTCAAATCTTGTTTTTTTTTTCTTTTTCTTTTCTAAATATCCAATTTAGCATTTGAGGGTAGTGGCTGTTTTCCTGTTTTGGCTGGCTATATGTTTCTTTCTTCAGAGTTTTGTCCTCATTGTTTATTTCATTTTAGTCTTCAAAGTTTGCAAGCTATGAGTGGAGTATCTGTATTTTGTATTTTGGCATTGACAATATTGTATTTTGGCTTTGATAATATTGAGTATACAATACATTGGAGAAAATGAAAATGAGTAAGCTATCTTGTTTACCATCCCCAAACGAGGGCATCAACGATTTTGTATGAGCCTTTCCTAATTCAACAATTTTGGTCCATGCACACGGGATTTTCTCTGAAATCACTCCTCAGAAACATCACTGTTATGTTTCTCTACTTGACCTTTGAAAACAAGAAACAAAACTTTCAGCTTTAACAAATAGGGCACAGAAATGTATGTGTTCAATAACTGTTGTCTTCATAAACAAGCTGAGTTAGTTGAGTGCAGAAGGAGAAACAAATAATACATAGATCGATACTGCATCATGTATTCAAGAAAATGAAAACTCAGAAGAATGACTTAGCATCATTGCTTAATTCGATTCAAAAAAAAAAAAAAAAATGAAAACTCTTCCAAGCTCAAAACTTTGATAATTTTAGCCCTGAGGTAGGTTTTGGCGGGAACGAGACATTAGTAATGTGAATTGGGTGGTTGTACCGGAAATCAGTCGCACAAAAAACAAAATAATAAATTTGGTACGGAGATCCGGTTTAGTGTGGTTTAATGGATAAGCTGGGCAAAAAGAAACAAAAACCGATTTTGGGATTCTGCTGAAAGCAAAGGAACCACCGTTCGTCGGCAAATTCTCGAGAGTGAGTGAATTGAATCGAATAGCAGAAGCTTGAAACTGATGAGAGAGTGTTGGTGAGAGAGAGAAAGAGATCTGAGTTTCTTTGTTTCCTTGTTAGAGAGAGATGGGTTACGGATGGGGGATCTTCGAGGGAATGCTGGTGATTGGATCTCTGTGTCTCTTAGGATCGGCTGGTCTCTGGTTTCTCAATCGGAGGCTTTACAAGGAGTACGAAGAGAAGCGAGCTTTGGTTCAAATCATTTTCAGCGTCGTCTTCGCTTTCTCTTGCAACCTTTTACAGCTCGTTCTCTTCGAAATCATCCCTGTTTTATCTAGGGAGTAAGTAAGCTTTCAAATTCGAGTATCAAGTTTGTTTTCCGAATCCGTTTTGCTTCACTTCCTAGTTCCTTCCTTATAGATGGTTCCTGCAGCTGCATTGATGGAATTTGTCATTTGACATAATATCAAATTGTTGTGAATATAGTCAGTGAGCTTTGACAATTGCATCATTTTAGATATCATGAGACCAATAACTCTTTTTTTATCAGGTTAGAAAATTGGCTCAAGGCTTGGTAATTTCTATTGAGATTATTTATTTTTGGTTTGCAGGGCAAGGATGGTAAACTGGAAGCTGGATCTCTTTTGTTTGATAGTGCTCCTTGTTTTCATGTTACCTTATTATCATTGCTATTTGATGCTTCGCAATACTGGTTAGCCTTTTACTTATAACTCTTTCGTTTTTAATTAAATATCGTAGCACCACATGTTACAGAAATTCCTTCTGCCTGTTTTTACCTTTTTTTTTCTTTAATATACTTAAACCATCAATTCAGGTGTTAGAAGGGAACGTGCTGCCGTTGGGGCCTTGTTATTCTTGACAGCGTTCCTTTATGCTTTCTGGCGCATGGGAATTCATTTTCCTATGCCTTCAGACAAAGGTACCTCTTGAGTTCATGCACACTCTTTCTCCCTTTAACACTGTATAAGCAAGAAGCAAGTTGATCTGAAGTTTCAGTTAGATCTTATTAACATTATTATGAACAATGTGTACTTCTGAATGTGTGGAGTAGGGATATGTTGGTTTAACTTGAAATGAGAATCTGAGCATGTTGACACTGACTATGATTGCCTGACTGTAGAAAATATCTTCAGAAGAAATTCGCAGGTTCAATCATCCTGCCTTCTTTATGCTTGTGCTGCTTGACAGTAGCTTTTGTATATACAAACGCTCTTGGTTCTTTTTATTTTCAATGCTTAAGATCTTGTCATCCGCTTGTTGGACTATTTTACTGAAACACCCTTTTATCTTGAAAGGTTTCTTTTCAATGCCTCAACTGGTCAGCAGAATCGGGGTCATTGGTGTGACCCTCATGGCCGTCTTATCGGGTTTTGGAGCTGTTAATCTGCCCTACAGTTATATATCGCTCTTCATTAGGTACTTCCCTCTATAATTGTTATTATATTTTCTTCTTCTACCTTGTGCGTTATTCTTATTGCAAATGATACTGTGGATTTTGAATAGAAGTAGCTGAACTCTAAATGAAGCTTTTCATCTTCTGTGATGTAAATGGATCTACACTGATAGAAGCAGCTGGATTGGAAAATTTGTGATCTAACAGCACGTTTTCCTGTCTCTCTTTCTCTCTGGAAACATATAGGGAGATTGAAGAATCAGAAATAAAATCGCTGGAAAGGCAACTGATGCAATCAATGGAGACTTGCATAGCTAAGAAGAAGAAAATTATTTTATGTCAAGTGGAGGTGGAACGAAGTCTAGTATCAGAAGAGGTATGGTTCTGCCTTCTATAATAATGAACTCCATACGTGATTGTACCTTAGAGTTTCATACTCTTTAACATTCTGTATTGGGGTATTGGGTTAGGATTCTTATCAGATCTGTGTATTTCTGTACTTCTGTATCAAAATGCTCTTCAGACTCTGAAATGACTTTTGTATGAAAATACTTCCTTATATATGCATCATCAGTTTAAATGCCATAGAATTAATGTTTCCACATTAGTTTTATTAGACATAGACTGATAATAAATATTTTCGTAATTATGCCTTTTCTAATTCTGAAATTAGCTTAGGAAGTAATCATCTGGTGCTTTTGGCTTCCAGCATCAAAAGGGTAAATCTTTCTTCAGAAGATTTGTCGGGACTGTTGTGCGATCGGTTCAAGATGACCAGAAGGAGCAAGGTCAGTTTATATAATTTAGTGCAGTTGTGCCTGCACAACATTGTCTTTCTACGAGTGATTTTATATGTGCATTATCTTTGACTCCATTAGGTGTTTCTTTATGTGAAGTAAATCATCTGAATAATTTTCACCTTGTTTCTGTGAGCTGGAAAACTAGATGTTTCAATAGAAAATAGGTTGGTTTCTCATGAGCACCTTACTCCATGTCTTGCTTGCCAGTGCTATTAAAGAGTAGAACGAAAAATAAAGTCCAGACTACTCTGATTGTCAATTTTTTTATTTTATTTTTGCGTCATCAGGAGATCATCATCCACCGTAGGAGAATGTAGAATATTGTAGTAGGAAACAGACAATTAAGATTCTTAAGAATGTAAAGCACGAGAATGGTTTGCTCATGTTAGGTGGTGTTGGCTAGAGTAGAATGAGAATGAGGTTAGGGTACTTTTACAATTTAGTTGTGGCGATATACTAAGTAGTTCAGTGATTAAACCAACAACATTGAGAAAAAGATGAATTGCAGAACAATAGCTTTCTTACCAAAGAGGGATACTTACATACAAAATTATAAATGAGACCTTTAATTTAGTAAAGAAGTATTCGAGTAACTTGAGATCAGTTCAGCCCGTATATTGTTGGGATAATAAAGTTGCTGAGTTGTTACAGTTTGCCCCCTGTTGCCAGATTATAGGTTGGCATAGGACTATGTATTCTCCTTTTAACATTTTTTAGTGTGCATACTACATAATAAGATGAGATATGAGGTCAGCATTTTAATTACTATCTAGTGATATCTCCCCAAATTCATTGATGTTTTTCTTATGCAGATATTAAACTAATGGAGGCGGAGGTGGAAGGTTTAGAAGAGCTGTCAAAGCAGCTATTCTTGGAAATTTATGAACTCCGCCAAGCAAAGGTTCCCTTCCAGCACTTTGCCATCAATTTTTAATTTAAATACTGAATTTTACTCATCGGCATGGCAATGACATCTTCGACTATTTACTTATTAGTTAGGTTATTACTTGGTGGTCTTGTTACGTAGTAATATAAACATTTGATAAGCATTTATCTTACTTCATTTCATTTGCAGGATGCTGCTGCTTTTTCTCGAACTTGGAAGGGTCATGTGCAGAACTTGCTTGGCTATGCGTGTTCCATTTACTGTGTGTATAAGATGTTAAAGGTAAATTTTGTTTGTCTTTATGTGAGGTGCTAGCCTTTAGTAATTTTAACTCTATGTTATCCTAGCATGGCAAGACTATGTTAAACTCTTCCTGGATGTGACAATGGCAGTGTTAGTTTTTGTAATAGATTGATACAGAGGTCAAAATTAAGGAGTTCCTTTGTCTGAACTTCTTTACTTCTTGGAAAGGAGAGCGTTCTCTATGCATAATGGGCATCCTACATAATTTTCATAGATCTCAATTGATGGATAGATTTATACTTTGTGGACATCTTTACCCTGTTGGTTGTGGGATGTGCAGTTTAAAGCTGTTATCAGAACAGTAATGGTTTGTTAGATGGAAATGTCTCTGATATATCTTGTGAAATGTTCTCTATTGTAAGTTTGAACTAGTATCTCTAACTTCTCTATTTTTTCTTTGTTTTATCTGCAGTCTCTACAAAGTGTCGTTTTCAAGGAGGTATTCTCATACCCATGTTGCCTTATACACTTTATAATGAAAACTTGCAGCGTTATCATCATTTGTTCACTTTTTACGACCTGGAATAGTGATTAGCTTGTTTACAGGCGGGCACCAAAGATCCTGTCACGATGATGATCAGCATATTCTTGCAGTTCTTTGATATAGGAGTAGATGCGGCATTGCTCTCACAGGTTTGCGTGACTTTGGATTTTTGATGTATGGAGTAGTAGATCCAAAGAAATGCAACTAGGCTTGTTATCCTCTCCTTACAACATGTCTTCCAGATGAAAAGCTATAGGATTAATTTTTCTTGATAATAACTCTACTTTCATAGAGCCTTTGATGGGATGGAAATTTCTTAGACCTTGTTACACTAGATGACTTTTTATCTTGAAAAATGCTTATATGGTTCTCAAATTACCATATATAGGTCTGATTCTCTCACTGTCTTTAATATTTTCAGTATATTTCCCTGTTATTTATTGGGATGTTGATCGTGATATCAGTGAGGGGATTCTTGACAAATCTGATGAAGGTGAGTTGTGATTTGATCTTTATACGATTCGCCCATTCGTCTTTATACGATCTTGTATGTTATCCACTTATTTTGGAGCTATGGTGTCTATGAAAAACTTGCTCTGGCATTATCATGTTTAATATTAGACGGAGTCTTTCACTTCTTTTAGCTGGTGCTATCTTTCCTTGTGACAGTCAGTTGATTATTTAAGCAAAGCGTATGAATGTATATCCTAGGAGTAGAAGATGTGGAGTGATTTAATTGAGTATATGTTGCAGTAGCATGATGGAACTACTCAATTTGATTTCAACCTAACTAAAAAACAAATTTCATTGTATTCAATTGATGGCTACTTACTTGATTGGCAATAGTATAGTGATTTTACATTTTGCTGAAAGCTTTTGTTTTGAATACTGTTATGCGTTTTGGTGACTGACTTGGGGAGTTTTCTTCGATTGTACAGTTCTTCTTTGCAGTGTCGAGGGTAGGGAGTGGATCTTCAAGCAATGTTGTGCTTTTTCTATCTGAAATCATGGGAATGTACTTTTTGTCTTCCATTCTTCTTATAAGAAAAAGTTTGAGAAATGAGTACAGGTACGCAAAGTTCTCTAATCTTAATTAAAGTAAGATAATACTAGAATAATAATTGCTGCCTGCACCGTTATAGACAATCTTTCTTCTGTTGTAACGATGGAAAGTGGATTATAAGTTTATAACTGAAAGCTATTTTTGTTGGCACAGAGGGATAATAACAGATGTGTTAGGCGGAGATATTCAGTTTGATTTCTATCATCGATGGTTTGATGCAATATTTGTGGCCAGCGCTTTTCTTTCTCTGCTTTTACTTTCTGCGCACTACACATCTCGTCAAATTGATAAGCACCCGATAGACTAAGCAAGCATCTGAGTGGTTGATTAAATTTTGATCTACATGAAAAACTTGAAAGCAGTGACATGTGTACATTTTCTTGCTTTGAAAGGATTAGTCTTGAGTTGTTTTTTCCTTCCTCAGTTGTGTGTGTGATTAGCTGACTGATTAGTTGTAAAGAGAATTGAGACTTTGGGGGTTTTCCCATTCAATAATAGATATCTGATGTCCAAATTAAAAATAAAAACAATGCAATAGATATCAGGCTTTACCTATGCTATTATTTTATATCATCTTATTTCTATGCATACATTATCTTTCATGCAGTACTTGTTAAGAAACAAAAAAAAAAAAGGAAAAGAAAAAGAGTAGTGGCCACAATGATTTCATGAGGCATTGACCGAAATGACTTTTTTTTTTTTTCGTTGGTTCGGTGTGAGATTATTGTGGTAGAGAGAAGTTGGTACGTGTGAATAGGTTCAATATCTGCTTCGGTTTATTATATGCATGTAATGGACTCAATGACGCTTCTGATCAAATCACATTGTTCTCAGTCCAAGGATAAATTCATAGAAAATAAAGAAGAGCTAGAGATACATCAGCACGGATTTCGTTCGATAAACAAATAAATGTACAGAAATTATATACATAATTTACACCTTCACAATGCAGTAGCTAGTAGTGAACAAATTTGCATTTATCTAGGAAAGAGATAACCTCTGTCTTCTCTGAACACCAGAGTCACTGCCGCCAATAAACAGAAATATATCCGTCGTTTTGTCGTAATCTTGATCCTATATTAATCTCATTTCTTAATCCGTTAATCGCATCAACTGCTACTTACCTAAGGAATTATTCAGATTAATAACAATCGTGTAATCGGTTGTCAAAATTTTGCAAACAACATCTGAAAATTAAACAATTGTCATGCTATTAAGCAACATCGTGATTTTTTCCAAGTTAAAGGCCTGCCTATTTGACTATTTCGTAAATGATTCCATAACATATCTAGTACTATAACACTATACAGTGTCTTCACGGCGGCGAAAGAAAAAAAAAAAAGGCTTCAACGGCCTTTGAGTAGTTGTTTCTGGCTCTGCGCCGCGCTGTCTCTCTAAAACAGCCTGGTAAGCTTCTTCGTTTTCTCTTCTAGGCCATTGATTATCATAATTGTTCTAGAAACTAATTTATCTTTTTCATTAGTCTCGATCTACTTGATCCTTGTGACTTTACAACCCTAATTTTGGTGTTTTGAATCGTTCTTCGATTTTTTTTGTTGATTGCCATTTTCCTTGGCTTAGGGTTTGATTACGATTAAAGGCCTCTGTTCTGTGCCTAAACTTGAGACTGTGGCTTCCTCTCGAGTGTTTTACAACATTAGATTGTAGAATTTTGGTGATTTTTATCATTCGCTGCTTTCTAAACTGGAAGTTTGTTTAATGATATGTATCTGTATATAGGTTAATCTCGGATGATAGAGACATTTTGACTTTCTCTTTCAATGACTACACGAAGAAATGGCCTTTCCAGCGGTGAAGGACCAAACTGGATTCTAATTGCAGGGGGTGCCTTGTTGAGCACATTGTCGATTCGCTTTGGCTACAAATTAAAGCAGTCTATTGACTCCAAACCTCCTCATTCCAATGCCACTGCTGGATTTAAACGTACTTATCTGGTTTTTTAGTGCTTACATGTCCTAGAATTCGGTTGTACTTTTTATCTTATCGGAAGGTTGTTGTTGTGCAGCCAATGGTACATCTGACAGAGGAAGATCTCTGGGATGCTGCTTGCATTCTAATGTATCTCCCTGTGAACGGAATAATGATTGTTGCTTCCACTGCACTCCCGGTGAGAGTTTGTTATTTTTACTACTGAATTTGCTTATACATAACTTCACTTCACATAGTCTCTTGCTGGGGTTTGATTTTGTGGTATCTTTGAACTGAAAAAAGATTTTATGAAATGTTGTAAACTAGTTGAAGGAATATGGAGATGGTGCTTGCAAAGTTTTAGTCTCTAGTATCTTGCATTTTGATGTCTTTGTAGCCCAGTCAGTAACAATATTTGCCTAAAGATTTCTTTCTAGCCCAATCAGGAATCATATTTAAGTAGCTACTTACATTAATGAGCTGGAAACTATGAAGGCAGTATTCGCTTGTGTTATGGCAGAAAAGTTTTGTGTGGGTGTTCTGAGAGTTGGCTTCTTCTTTTCATTTATGCAGGAACTGAGAATGGGGAAGGAAATCATGCTACAAATGAGCAAACGGCAGTGTCCAGTACTTCTCTGCCTATTGTGACAGTTCCTGCTTCATCATATAGCAAAGAGAATGCAGGCATGTGGGCATCTTCTCCTGATCACCTGGAAGTGCCCATGAAAGCATACCATCATCATTCGACCTGCTCAGATTCTCCTTGCGTATCTGAATCCGGCTCAGACATCTTCAGCAAGCGAGAAGTAATACAGAAACTGAGGCAACAGCTGAAGAGACGTGACGACATGATAGTTGAAATGCAGGAACAGATTCTAGAGCTGCAAAACTCCCTAAACGCCCAGATGGGACACTCTAGCCAGGTCCAAACACAGCTAGACGCAACAAACAGGGACCTGTTTGAATCAGAAAGAGAAGTCCAGAGGCTGAGAAAGGCGATCGCTGATCACTGCGTGGGACACACAGGTAGCAATGGTTGGAGTGGCGATGTGAACAGCGAAAACAACTACGAGTCACCAGAAAATGGAATAAGGGATGGAGAAAGAATAGAGATGTTGAGAAAAGAAGTGGGTGAGCTTAAAGAAGTGATAGATGGGAAAGAGTATCTACTTAGGAGCTATAAGGAGCAGAAAACGGAGCTTTTGCAGAAAGTCAAAGAGTTGCAGCAGAGACTGGATTCACAGCTCCCAAACATTTTGTAGGCGAAGAAGGTTAGGCATTGTGCATTCTTACTACTCTCTCTTGTTTCCCCGAGAAAAAATATGAATCTTTGTTCAAAAATATTTGGACTTCCCCGGGGAAACTTGTCTTCTGACTACGTTGTTTTGGCCTTTGTTTTGGGTGTCAATTATGATAATTTATCGATTGTTTTTTTCTCTTGGTGAAGTGGAAGTTCGAAAGTTGCAAGCTCATACTATGTCGTTCGTGTCTCAAGGCTAAATGTAGAATTTCAGTTGGAAGTTTTTTACAAGAAAGTTGGTTACTTGTTCTTAAGGAAAAAGAAAGAAGGGTTGCTAAATATTTAATTTGGCAATTATTTCCGTCAGGTTTTAGGGAAGGACCAATTAATTTTAATTTAATTACAAATTACAATCTCTGTCAGGTGCCGCTTTTCGATCTTCTTTATCTCGCCAATTTCGTTGTTCTCATGTCTGGGCTTAATTGGGATTATCCTTTTGTGGTTCCCCTTGTTTCCATAGATTGTAATTTTATTCGTTTTTCTCAAAGTTTCCCTCGTTTGGGCGTAGTTTCCCTTGTTTGAGCGTAGTTTCCGGGGATATCTTTGTTTTCCGCCGGCTTTGTGTTTCAAAATCGTATTCCACCATTATATTTCACAATCGTATAATATGAAGGAAAAAATCTAGACGAAAAAAAAAAAAAAAGTTGTCTGTCACATAGTGAAGAAGACAAAAGAAAAATATCACTCATTAGATGTGTTCCATTAGGACTTAAAAAGAGAATAAATTTACACATATGGATAAAGATGTCAAATCGTATCTAATAAATTTCATTACTAAAAAAATGGAATCGTAAAGAAAAAAAAACAAACATAAGAGCTGAGTTTGTTAACCACCGTGAGCGCATCCATGGGACGTGGTTGACGCGTGCGTGAATTTTTGTTTCTTAATTTCAATAAATGAATTAACAGTGGAAGGGAGAAAAAAAGGAGCTGTGACTGTGAGACGCTGTCTCTTCAACCTCTTCCCCTCCACTTTGCTTCTCTCTCTCCTCTCCGGGGGTTTTACTGTAATATCATCGTCGGAGACTCTGCGATTCTTCACTGAATCTTATTTCTCTCTCTGCGATTTTTCGATTCTCGAAGCTGCAAGGACAAACATTGAAACTCAAGCGGGAGAAATTTTCTTTCTGGGGAGGAAACTATGGAGCCCTAATGCTCATTTTCTGCTGTCTATGAGGTTTTTGTAAGCGATTTTACTCCTCAATACTCTTCCCTTTTTGGGTGCTTTGCTCGCTCACTGATTTTTTATTCGTCGGAGAATCTATTTTGAGCTGTTCCCTCGGATTTGTGTAATTCCTTATCCTCCTTCTGATTGCGATTCTTTTGTTGATTTATGGTTGTTGGGATAGCGATTAATTGAAAAGTTAAGTGTTGTTTTCATTTTTAATTTGCTTCATGTTCAAGTCAAGTATCTCTTCTTCTCTATTTGCTGTTTCGGGTTAGAGGAAGAGACTTACTTTAATGTCTAATCAAGTCCCATGGCATCAACATTTTCATTACTCTTTCAGGAAGCTCATTTTTGTTGCATTTGATTTTTTGAGGTAGAGTCTGTGATTCCATGGATTTCTCAACTGATAATTGTTTGACTAAGATAAAAATGGATCGTGTTTTCATTTCTGAAGCAGAATCTTATTTGTGATATCCTTATTGATCATGTATTGTATTGCCACCGACTGGAATCTCCTACCATTTTTTGTTTGTTCTCTTTTCAATGTTACTATGATTTCAGATCTTTTTGTTTTTCCTTCTCTGGTTGATTGTGTTTGAGGTAATGCTCAAAACGTGATTCTTTGGGCCCAATATCTTGTATTTTTTAATTCTAGTTTCTGGAATCTTTGCTGGGTATTAAGCAATTGTTGATTTTAAAATTGTATACCTATGGTTTTTAGTGAGTTGACACCGGGCTTCTTGTCTTTTTTTGATGAAATATGCACAATTCATTCTGATCGTTGATGATGATGTATTCTTGTATCCGGTCAATGTAGGTTATGTTTGGATGATAGAAACATTTTAGCTTTCTCTTACAATGAGTACACGAAGAAATGGCATTTCCAAGCATCAGCGAGCTGATAAATTTTGTGGGGATAGGCCAAATTGGATACTAATTGCAGGGGGTGCCTTGTTGAGCACATTGTCCATTCGCTTTGGCTACAAGCTAAAGCAGTCGCTTGATTGGAAACCTCAATCAAATGGCTCTGCTGGAATAAAACGTACTTACTTTATCGCTGTGTTGCTTACCATGCTTTATAATTTGGTTCCAGTATTGTTTTTAATCTCTTAATGAAAGTCTCTTGTGCAGCTAATGGAATATCTGAGAGGCAAAAATCTACAAGCTGTTGCTTGCACTCTAACACATCTTCCTGTACACACAATAATGATTATTGTTGCTTCCGCTCCATTCCAGGTGTGACTTTGTCACTTTCTGTTTTAATCTTTTGCATTTCTCATACATATTTGTTCAAGCCACTAAACAAACGCTATATGTTTGTGTCTTGGCCTCGCATCATCTCTTACTGGGTTTCCTTTCATCAATATGTGAAATGAAAACGATGTTGATGTTGGAAATCTAGTTGGAAGAATGTGTAGATGTTGCTATAGAGTTCTAGCCTCTATGATCTTACCTAATGATGTATTTGGCAACTAGGAAAATCCAATTCGAAGTTGTGGAATGAGTAACATAGTTGCAAGATTTGCCACCTTGCAATAACTGGTTGAATCGAATATCTCTTGTATTATTGTGGCATATTAGCATTAATTTGCATCAATTGGGCTGGCAACTAGGGAAGCAGATTTTCTCCAATGATGGATGTGTCTAGTGGCTGAATGCTAACAATAGTTACAAGTTTTGTACTATTCCATCCAGAACTGAGTTATGTTTTGTCTTTGGATAATCTCTGAATCCCACTATCCATGTAGTCCAGAGCAACCAGTCGTGTATGGTTCTTATCAGGCTCTGCTTTATTAATTTTATAGGAACTGAGAATGTGGAGGGAAAAGAGGTGACGAACGAGCAAATGATATCCGCATCTGATACTTCACTGCCTCTTGCGAAAGTTCCTGCTCCATCATTTAGCAAAGAGAATGGAATCATGTGGGCAACTTCTCCTGATCGCCTGGAACTTCCCCCAAAACCATACAATCACCATTCAAACTGCTCAGATTCTCCTTGCGTATCTGAAACCAGCTCAGACATTTTCAGCAAACGAGAAGTAATACAGAAACTAAGGCAGCAACTGAAGAGACGCGATGACATGATACTGGAAATGCAGGAACAGATTCTGGAGCTGCAAAACTCGTATAACGCGCAGATGTCACACTCTAGCCATCTACAGGCACAGCTAGACACACTGAACAGAGATCTGTTTGAATCAGAAAGAGAAGTTCAGAGACTGAGAAAGGCGATCGCTGATCACAGCGTGGGATGCACAGGTAGCAATGGCAAGACATCTCCTGTTGCACCTTGGAGCGGCCATGTGGACGGGTTTATGGACAGCGAAAGCAATTATGAGTCACAGGAAAAGAGCCTAAGGGATGGAGAAAGAGTAGAGATGTTGAGAAAGGAAGTGAGTGAGCTTAAAGAGGTGATAGACGGGAAGGAGTATCTACTTAGAAGCTATAAGGAGCAGAAGATAGAGCTTTCACAGAAGGTGAAAGAGTTGCAGCAGAGACTGGACTCGCAGCTCCCAAACATATTGTAGGTGGAAAGGTTAGGCATTGTGCATACTTGCGTCTGTTCCTTTTTTTGTTTTCGGTTCTTTTCCTTTTTCGAGAAAATGAATCTTATGTCCTAAGAACGTTGGAGATGAAGATTTTCAGGTTCTTTCTGGCTTCAGCTTTCGTTTTTTGAATGTCTTGATTTTGGTTTTTTTTTTTTTTGGTCTTGTCTCTTTTTCGAACATTTGGTGTAAAGGAAAATTAGTTGAAGAATTTACCGCGGGAATAGTTTTAGACTTTTCCTTGTTTTATTAATCTCTGTAAATAGTAGTAAGTAACCCGATAATTACAAATCAACTTTTGTTTAAATCAAACGCCACGTATAAAGATTTGTTCCCACTTAGGGCCTGACTGGTTTAAACGCAGCGGTTACAGTTGCGGAAGTTTGCGGAAGCGGGCGGTTGTGGTTTCAAGCGTTACCAAGCGTTTTGAACGACTGGTTTAGCGTTTGAAAATGGATGCGTTTGCGGAAGTTTTATGACTGGTAAACCAGCGGGTGCGGTAGCAGTTAAATAAAAAATGACTAAAAAAATAAAAAATATTACAAAAAAAAGAAATAAAAACACCAATATATTATTATGATAATATTAGAAAAGTAATGGAACCTGTAACACCATAAATAAAGTACTAAATAATTATTCAAAAATAAAGAAATTTTATAATAAGAAAGTACTTTATGCTGGGTTAACACCAAAAATTGTATCAAGTAATGGGACAAACTGTAAATAACGTTGAATTCAATCAAAAAGCAAGTAATTTTCTATTCGAGAAAACAAATCGAAACATATATTCAATCAAAAAGAAAAACAATATATAATGAAAAGAAAAAATATTCAAATTGATTTTTATCAGTTTGGGTGGAAGACATTGAGAAAATAAGGTTGTAGAATATTGATTAGGGTTTCTGATGAGAACGTGATACAAAGATGAAAGATATATATAAAATTAATATATTTTATAATAATTATAAGTAAACGTTTGATTTTTTTTTTTTTTTTTTAAATCCAACCGCTACCGTCCGCAACCGCAAACGCTTGCGGGAAAGAGCTTTTGAAATTCAGCGATTTCGAGCGGTTTGAAGCGGTACGGAGCGGTTTCTATGATTGGTACCAACCGCTAACAACCGCAACCGACCGCTAGCAACAGCTATGAGGGTGCTAGCGGGAGAACCAATCAAGCCCTTAAAGAAGAACTAGATAACAACCCGCACGATGTGCGGAATGAAGTAATTCAAGTAAAATTATTATGAATAAAATTATTATCCGGGATCCAAGATCCGTTTGTGTAAAACAAAACATGTTATAATTTTTTTTTTGTTTTATTCAAATTTGGGACTATTTCATATAAGAATGTGTTTTATCCGTGAAATATTTGAACCTTGAATAAAGCTTCAACGTGATAAAAAAGTATTGCCGAAATGTTACCATTTATGGCAATATGTCTTTCCGTATGTTTTAAAGATTTCGAGATTTTGTAGTATAAAAAGAATTTTTTTTTTTTTTAATAAGTATAAGAAATCCAAAATTTAGCAAAGATGAGATTTGATAGTTTCCAAGCTAAGATTTTGTAGTATTCCAAATCTAAGATTCTTAGATTATGAATGGATTATTTACGAAATGGTTATAATGTGGCCAGATTTTGGTTTATATACAAATGTGATTATAATATTTTTCTTCGAAAAGTTAGAACTCCTCCAAAAAATAGGATTTTAAGTATTCGTAACATATATAGAAAATAAATTATCTTATTTATTTAAGTAAAAAATTTATGAAAGATGTAAAAATTTTGTAGTTTTGAATTCGAGATTCTTGAACCAAATGTATATATTTTATCATTAAATATAAACATAAATATAAATATAAATAAAAAGATTGTTTACCTATCCGCTAAAGAAAATTTATATAAATGTATATAAAGAAAAATATAAATAAAAAAATATAGTAATATAAGATAAACAAAAAGTGTATGTTTTTAATTATTAGTGGGATATATGGATGTATGAGACTAATGACAAATTCTGTAAATAGTCTAATAAATCTTGAGTAATTATCTAAATAGAAACCAAATCATTGTGAGAGCGACACATCAGCGTGGCAATCTTGTTAATAACACATGATGGTAAGGTTTTTTTTTTAAATGTTTCTCTATCTACATATACATTTTTATAGTATTTTTTTGCTTTAATTCTTTTGGATCCGGGTTTGACCCGGGTTTTAGTCTATTCGGATCTTGGATTAGCAATTTAAGGGATGTTGTCTTAATTTCAAACTAATAAATGAAGCCATGTTGTCTTAATATCTTTCATATTAATGACCCTAATAAATAGCCGATTTTAATGGAAAATCGTTTTCATATTTATGCTCATAATAAATGTCCAGATTTTAACAATATAACGTATTTATTTTTTTAACAGTATATATATATATATATATATATATATATATATATATATATATATATATATATATATATTATATGTTAATAAATTTGTTTAATATTCTAATAATAAGCTATGTCATTTTTCTTTTACAATAACAGATTAAATATAGGCAATTGCCTATTTAAATTGTAATAAATTTAAAATCAAAATAACAATCTATTTTTTGCTTTTCTTTCTCAAAAAATAAAAATAAATAAATAACAATCTATATATATATTTTTGCAGGGGGTTTTTGCTTTTAATAATTTGGATCCGGGTTTTACTCGGTTTTACTATATCCGGATTTTGGATAAGACATTTAAGGAAATCTAAAAAAAATCGTCATTAATGTAGATAATTACACATATATTTCGGTATAAGCATATTCCAAAAATCTCTCCTAAATCAAAGATGTTACGTTCAAAAATTATTGCCAAAAATCTCTCGCTTTCCTTCTAAAATCTCTACCATTGGCTGTCATCCCAACTAATTACTCATAATTATCTTTCCTATATTTCTTTTTTTTTTCGAGATTTGCAAGAAAATTACTCAATTCCAAAAATAAAACATTTTGAAGATATTGTTACTTGATCAGCAAGATTTTAGGAGCTCACTCACCCAAAACCCTATAGTATTCTCAAAACATTATAAATACCTTTCATTAGTCTAATAAAAATTCACCAGTTTTACAGAAAATGAGAAATCGCAGACGTGATGCAATCTGTACGGACTCCGGGAAGAGCTAGGAGACAGTGGTGAACCGGGATCTAAACCTCGCCGACGATGTGAAGATGGTGACGAGGAGGAGATCGTAATTCTTTAGGTTTCGATTGGCAAAACAAGACGATCGGCGATCCAAAGCTCCACCGCCTGAAACGCAACATCGAATTGATCACACCGAATATCTTCAGATTTTGGATATACTTTTCCGGTGGTAGCTTCAAAATACACGCCGAGAACTCCTTGATACGCTACACGGAGAGTAGATCCATGCGTTTTGCTGTAGCTTTGAAGAAACAAGGCTCAGATCGACGGAGCCGTTACTGTGACCGTTAACGACGGTGACTTCATCTGCTAAACCACCGATGATTGAGTTTGAACTTTCCGTTTCTAAGTTTTTCATTTTGGGTATATGAGAGAGTTGAATAAACACAATTTGGGCTCTGTAGGTCTTTACAAAATTGGTAGACATGATTCTTTGTTATTGGGTTCTAATACTCAATGTGTTTATTTTTTCATTATGTGAACTAATGAAAGTTGCATACTTAATTTTTTTTTCATGGCAGTTCTAAACATATTATTTTTAATATTTGTGATTATATAACAATAATAGGTTAGTGTTAATTACATGGATCATTAAGGTTTGAATAGTGATAAAATAATTAGAAAATACAAATAAAATAACAAGGCCGGTGCAAAACTATTAATTCAGACCTTAATTATCGGATCAGTTCAAGCTTTAACCCATGTCTTTTTCTGAAATTGCTAAAAATAAGTAATGTTCTCAAATAAATTCAAATATCAAATCTTCATAAATACATTAAATACGTAAGATTTAAAATTATGGAGCAATCTTTTCTAATTAAATTCAAAAATTTCTAATTGATATATTTAAATTTTTTGGCTTTTGTTTGCCCATTTAGCTATGGTTTTTGAGTTTTTATAAAATAGTTTTAAATATTACGGTACGAATTGTATGACACAGGTTTGGTTAGGATTGATATTAATATAAAATTAAAATTTCACTAATATATCGCTATAACACATATTAAATCCTCATTTTATTATTTAAAATTTAGCATACGGTATACCGCGGGTAAAATCAGTATAAGACGGGTTAAATCAGCATCTTATTCAAAATCATACAATTGAATCTATTGTTTTTATACTACGTCTATCTATAAAATTTCAATTTTTGTAATAAAATTTCGTCTCACGGTGTATTATACATTTAAATTAAACAAAAAAATAGTATATATCTATAGAGTATCTTAAAACAAAATTTAATAAATTTTTCTAATAAAAATATATACCCGCGGTGTACCGCGGGTTAACATCTAGTTAATATATAGGGGATTAGCCAATTTTAACACAAAGCCATACAGATGTGAAGATTTATAAATAGACGTAAACAAAGATTTATTAATTAGACATATTATTTTATTTTTAAGATAGTCCAAAAAAAAAAAAAATTGTCGGCATGCTTAATCTGAAATTTGGGTTTGAATTACACATAATAAAAAAATAGAGATTTATCCTAATAAGATTTATAAATAAAAAAAAATAGAGATTTATCCTAATAAGATTTATAAATAAAAAAAATAGAGATTTATCCTAATAAGATTTATAAATAAAAAAAATAGTAGTCAAAAAGTCATTTTATCCTCTCAGAGGCGTCTCAGAGGTGGTTTTGCTGGTCTTCGTTCCTCCTCTCGCTTTTGAATGGAGATGTGAGCTTTCTTCATTCGAAGAGCAAAAACTCTAATTCCATGGCCTTCTCGCTCCTCTCTCCAATTCCTTCCTCTGCCTCTCTTTCTCGCACTCTCTCCTCCATTAATAATGCCTCCTCCTCTCTCTCCCCTCTCTACTCTCTATATCATCCCAAAGGAATCTTACGAACCAGAACCGCGACCTCGATTTTCGGAGCCTCTGGGAACTTGAGGATTGATTCCATGGCGGATAATTATAATAGGCAATTGGTTTGTAGGATTGGTGGTTGCGGCGGCGGTGTTGAATTGGATGATATGGATGAATGTGAAATCCAGAGGATTGGAAATCACGACGAAGATGACGACGAATTCATACAAGTCCATGCATCCTCTGCTGCTTCTCCTGAGAGATGGGATGTTTTGGGTCTTGGCCAAGCCATGGTGATTTTTTGTTTCCTATGATGAATCATTCAACCCAAAAATTATTCTTTCTAAATGTTTTAAATCGAACGCCATGATTAAGCTTTTAACTATTGCCTGATGATGTGTTTTTATGTTTTAGGTAGATTTCTCTGGAGTTGTGGATGATGAGTTTCTAGAGAAACTGGGATTAGAAAAGGGAACAAGGAAACTGATTAATCACGAGGAGAGGGGTAAATTATTACAAGCAATGGATGGTTGTAGCTATAAGGCGGCAGCTGGAGGGTCATTGTCCAACACTTTAGTTGCTCTTGCAAGATTAGGTTCTCAATCCATCGGTGACCGGCCTTTGAATGTGGCAATGGCTGGCAGTATTGGAGGTGACCCTCTCGGTAGCTTTTACGGGTACAAAACTATCTTACTTATATGACCCTTCTCTTTCTTTTTGTTTTCCTCTGAAGAATTGGACTATTGAATTATGTTAGAGAATTGTTACTATGCAAGAGTAGGTTGTAAGGCGTCAAACTAGCCTATCATTTCATTTGGTTTGGTATACTCACAAGGGGAGTCCTTCTTATGCCTGTAGGACTAAACTACGTCGAGCAAATGTAAATTTTCTTTCTGCTCCAATCAAGGATGGAACAACGGGAACAGTGATAGTTCTCACAACTCCTGATGCACAACGAACTATGCTTGCATATCAGGTAGGATTTCTGTTCACAGCAAATTGCTTTGGCAACGTATTATTATTCAAAATGTAAGTGTTTCCCTTTTCACTTCCACAAGAGTCAAGCAAAGTTTAACTTGTGAAGTAGCCAGTAGGTGATGTGCAAGATCATTTTAGTGGTAGGATCATTTGCCTGCATAAAGCAACCAAATTGAGATAGTAGTAGCAATGTTAATTCTGATAAGTTTTTCAGTTTGATTTGAAGCCACTAAATAACAAACCTAATCTTGTCGTATAATTTCAGGGAACATCTTCTGTCGTTAATTATGATTCTTGTTTGGCTAGCTTGATAGCCAAGACAAATGTCTTTGTTGTGGAAGGCTATTTGTTTGAGCTTCCTGATACTATAAGGACCATAACAAAAGCCTGCGAAGAAGCCCACAGAAATGGGGCACTTGTTGCTGTGACAGCATCAGATGTGTCCTGCATAGAGAGGCATTATGATGATTTCTGGTGAGTTTCTGCTCCCTTTGCTTGAATCCAGTCTTGCTTTTATTTGATTTTTGGGTCAGTTTCCATCGGATAGGAACAATTGGAAATAATACGAAGAGAGTGATTATCTTCTGTAGCTTGATAAGTCAAAGAAGCTTTGATGCTTCAAGCAGTGAATGTCTTAACCTGGAAAAACAAAACTTGAACCTAGATGGTGAATTTGTTGTTTAATGTCTGTAGTTTTCTCGTGTCAGTTTCGTTGTCTCCATCTGTTTGTTTTTCGAGAGAAAAAATGGGAAATGTTGATGGTTTTCTTTTGATTCAGGGACATTGTGGGGAACTATGCAGATATTGTATTTGCAAACAGCGATGAAGCAAGAGCGTTTTGTCACTTTTCCGCTGAGGAAAGCCCAATTTCAGCGACAAGGTACATGAGCCACTTTGTTCCATTTGTATCGGTGACTGATGGAATCAACGGGTCATACATTGGAGTAAAAGGAGAGGCCATATACATTCCTCCGTCCCCATGCGTGCCAGTTGATACATGTGGTGCTGGAGATGCATATGCTTCAGGGATCTTATACGGTATCTTGAGAGGTGTCTCTGACTTGAAAGGAATGGGAGATATGGCTGCAACGATTGCAGCAACAGTGGTGGGTCAACAAGGAACCAGGCTTAGGGTTCAGGACGCTGTTGAGCTTGCTCGATCACATGCTTTCCGTCTCAACGGATCTGGTGTTCGAACAGATGTTGGGTCTTGATGAAATCTCTAGCTTGTGATTTTAGCTTTTTGATTCATTCTTTGTTTTCATGTAGTAGTGCCTTTTGCAACCTTGTATGTAACGTTTTAGTATATAGTATATGTTTCCGACAAAGTTTGAGACATTTTTTGTTTTTAATTTGATGGGTCTTAGTCTGATAGTTTATTCTTGCAAAAGTTGTTGATGAGTTATTATTGTGAACTGCAAAATCCCATAAGCCTTAACAGTGTTATAACAAAGCTCGGAGACTTCATGTAAGATAGAATCTTGTCCAATTTCAATATAAATCGCACTGGTGAAGTTTATTAACAGCGGGTAAGCAGCGGAATCTCGAACTAACAGAGGCTTAGAGTAACTTTCCGACGATCGGAAGTGTAACAACAAACATATCATATGCTTGGAAAAACATCATTGACTAAATAAAACAAGTGCAAAAAAGCTCTGAAACAAGAAAAAGTTATCTTCCATGTAAATCGATCTGGAAATTTTAGGCAAAAAAAATTTGGACCATTTCTCGATTTATGCGTGTCATCCTTGCGCAGGGGCCATGCTAATCTTCTCTGTATCGTTCCAATTTTATCGGATGTCCCCGAAGGGACAATCATCTCTGTCACTATAACGATATATAAACTGTGCCTCTTTCTGCTGTGCAACCGATGTGGGACTAATGTTATTGCTTCAAAACAAATGGGCCTCTCTTTCTGATTCGTTATGAGCCCATTATATCATTCAACCATATGGGCCCAATATATTATTATTAATAATGAAAATCTTAAGTGTAAATTAGCTTCAACATTAAATGCTCAGGTTTCTCAAGCGATTAGGATCCAATTCCAAAAACGATATTAAATGCTTCATGAGCGAGAACCTTCTTTACCAAGAAAATTTATATCAGTTCCAGCAATAGTTTTATATTACGATCAAACGAGGCATCAACAATTTGATTACATGGGAAAGAGAAATCGCACCTACGAGACGAAAAAAGTAAACGAATAAAACATTAACGAACAACAATTTGACGTGCGATCTAAGTTCTAAATTAGAATGATTAAGGATAAATGTAGGTGGTAGGACTTTTTTTATTTAGTTTGATTGTTACTCACTTCATTCATTGTGTGCTGCTACCATAATTGTGTTATTATCTAATTGTATCTTTCAATCACATAAATTACCTTTACAACAACCAGGGCCGGCCCATGGGTAAAGCCCATGAAGCAAGGGCTTTAGGCATCAAATAATTATAAGTAGTTTTAAGGGCATCAATTTTTAAAATGTTATTGTGGTCTAGTGGTTAGGTTGAAGTCTTTTGTTGTACAGGTCACGGTTTCGAATCCCATACATGTTAATGGGCCAAAAAATTTAGTGCTTTACGCACTCAAATAGTTTGGGCCGGCCCTGACAACAACAAAAAAAGTATCAATAGGTGCAAAGAGAATCAACAAACCCATGATGAAAGGGATACATATAACTTCATATATATGATTATATTTTTGAACACTTTAACACGAGGATGAAAATTATTTCATTATTTTTACTATAATCCACCAAATCCTGGCCAAAAAAAAAAAGCAGTCTATATGTACAGCCTAAAGTGCCTCCATATCATATGCATAAAATAGCAACATGTCACATACTGAAAATCTTAGGCTCCGAATGGTGACAGCGGATCAGACGGTGCGGAACAAGCGGATTGAGTAGTGCGGTGCGGTTTTGAAGCGGTGCGGTTGAAAAAACGCAGTATACGGAACAAGTGCAGTTTGTTCGAAACAAGCGGTGCGGGATAAATTTCGAATGATGAAAAAAACAACATGCGGTGCGGTTCAAATGTTTGAATGGTGAAAATGTAAAAGCGGTACAAAATATATATTTTCGATAAATGTTTTACAAAATAACTTTTGCATTGAACAACAAAAAAATAAACAATGATTAGTTTTCTTATCTATTCGGTTATTCACTCCTAAATTTAGTTGAATAATTTCATATATAACTTAACTGAATGATTGTAACAAATGTTTTAACTCCTCACTGAACTCTCTTTATATCTCGAATAACTTCATTTTCCATCTAAAAATATAATAATAATGATATATATAAAATAATTAGTTAATGATTCAAAATTAATAACTCATGTTTACCTTGTGGAAATCGTATGCAAAAAGATATGAAAACAAAAGAAATTTGTTGGCCTCCTTCTTTTATAAAACGTCTTCTTCTTTTGAAAGTCGAGAGAAATTTATGTATTGGTGTTGTTGAGTTTCTATGAATACCATCTAAGACCAAGGTGTAATATATAATGAATATTGTATAATTAAATTATTAAATAAAATAAAAAGTTAGTCAACTGTGGTTTCACTTTAAAACCACACCCTATGGTCATTTTCTTCTATGCATGTGCGTTTCCAGCTTTTTGTACCACACTTACCTTTTTATTTTTATTTTCTTTATTTTTTATTTACATAGAGATATGTGGATAATCTTAGCTGAATGGTGACAAAATAGGTAAGTGGACCGCACCACACAGCGTTTCAGGCAAAACATTCACAGCGTTTCAGGCAAAACATTCACAGCCTTAATTTAATATAGTTTCAAAGATTTCAATACGGAAAAAAACAAATTATGATTTCGAGAATAAAAAGAGTTTTTTTTTTTCTTTTTTCCCTTAAATAATAATAAGAGTTGTATGGTTAAATTATTGTAAAAATAAACAAAGGGAGACTCACAAAAATGCCTCTTTTTCAATACCCCTTTTCAAAAATGCCCAATTTGGCTGTCCATTTTTAAAAATATCCCTTTTTATGTACAAAATGACTAAATTACCCTTCTTTTAATAAAAGATATCACAAATATATAAGGAAAACATGAGAATATGCACACATCAAAATTACAAATTTGATTTTGTAAAAACTTGTAAAACCTTTAAAATACCTTGTAAAATTTTTACAGGGTATTTATAAGGTTTTACAATGTATTTTAAAAGGTTTTACAACGTATTTATAAGGTATTTATAAGATATTATAAGATTTTACAAGCTATTTTATAAGGTTTTACAAGTTATAAGGTTTTACAAGTTTTTTATAAGGTTTTACAAGTTATAAATACCTTATAAAACCTTATAAGTACCTTGTAAAACCTTTTAAAATACATTGTAAAACCTTACAAAATACTTGTAAATACTCTGTAAAAACTTTTAAAATACTTTGTAAATTTTTCTCGCCAAAAAATATTTTGTATTTTGTGGACCTAATTTTGTTTCAAATAAGGGTAAATGGTCATTAAAAATTAAAAGAATGCAAACTTAAAAATGGACTCTCAAAGAAAACATTTTTAAAAAGGATATTGAAAAATGTGCATTTTTAATAATTTCTCATAAACAAATGATTGAAAAGGCACATGCAGTCACAAAATGTTTAACAAATCAGATTATGAGAGTTACTTTGTCTATCCACATTATGAGCAACGTCCATTCATTCCCTTTGATGCAGGGCAATGCATAAACAACTTTAAACCATGGTCATTTACGTAATTTCATAACCCACGTATTTCTACTTTTGTTATCATTTTAGTTTTTATAAAATTGAAAAAATTAAACCGGGAAAGAAAAAGAAAAGACGAGAGAGAGAGAACGAGGGTGACCACTCTGGGGAAACACCATAACCCCATTTCTTTTGTTTTTTTGATATATAAAAAAGAATTTGTTGTGTTAAAAAGTTGAAGACTTTGTGGAGAAGCAATCCTATTCCTACCCAGTGAAGAAGAAGAGAACCAGAATCGATCTGTGGTCTCTCTGTTTAGTCTCTCCCATAGCAATGCCCGAGTTTTAGCAACCAACAACAATTCTCAGCTTTTTTTTTTTTTTTTTTTTTCTGGGTTTCTTTTGAAGACGCTCTTCTGCGGCAACAATGGCGTCCAGAACCAAGTGAGGATTTTTCTTCATTCTAGAAAACCAAACTATTTTTTAAAGACAATTTGAAATCTGAGATGCTGTCTTCTGTTTTCTTTGTCGGAAATGTAGTTGTGTTTTGTTGGATTCTATGTGGGTCACTTTCTATGCGGCTACTTTGTTTTTTCTTCTGGAATTATCAATGATCTGTTCTTTTGTTTGTTTTGGTTGCATTAATTTTGTTACTTTAATCTGATTTTCACTGCTTCCGGTTCCACAATTTGGTTTGGATCTTGCAGAAGCTTCTGTAGTCACTTGTAGTTTCCGTTTTGTGAGACAGCAACACTTTTTAGGGAATTTTGTTATAGAAACAATATGTTTTTGGATACAATGGAAGTACCTAATAGACTTATTGATAATTAGATCTCTTAACTGAGATGGGATCCTATTCCTAGCAATCTAATCATGAACTTGGAAAGTGTTTTTAAGTTAAGTGAGCTTTTTATGCTTGTTTATAGAATTGAATCCGAGGATTCTCAGAAAAATGGAGATGATGGTCTGTTTGTTTTCTTTAGTGTTAAGTGGTGTGATTGTGACTTTGTGGTTTATCTTTCTGATGATGTAGAACTGGTTTAATGGAGACTCCTCGTAGCAAACCATCACCACCAACACCAAGAGTGAGTAAACCAACTGGGACTAAATCCGATGGCAATTCGCCGTCTCCGGTGCACAGCACTCGTCTTTCACTAGACCGTTCGCCACAAACTGTTAACTCTAAGCCTGTTTCTGATCGTCGGAGTGCAAGGGTTCTTACTCCACCTGAGGCAAGTAAAACCAACTCCATCCATTTGAATGTCTTGAAGCTTTTCTTGTTTTGATTTTTAACTTTGAAAGACTATTTATTGATCATCATTTTTTTGGCATTTCAGAAATCGCAATCACGGTTAGGGAAGGGAACTGAGCTACTGGCTCAACTGATTCAAATTCAGGAGGATTTGAGGAGAGCTAATGAACAAATAGAAAGGCTCAAGAAAGATAAATCTAAAGCTCTTGATGATCTTAAAGAATCTGAGAAACTGACTAAAGAAGCCAATGAGAAACTTAGAGAGGCATTGGCATCTCAACAGCGTGAGGAGAAGAGTTCTGAGATTGAGAAATTCCGAGCGGTTGAACTAGAACAGGCGGGAATTGAAGCGGTTCACAAAAAGGAAATCTCTTGGAAGAAAGAAGTTGAGTCTATTAGAAGCCAGCATGCTTTGGACATCTCAGCTCTTCTCTCTACCACTGAAGAGCTTCACAGGATTAAACAAGAATTGGCTATGACCGCTGATGCTAAAAATAAGGCTCTCAGTCATGCTGAGGAAGCGACTAAGATTGCTGAAAATCAGGCTGAGAAGGCGGAGATTCTTTCTTCTGAATTAAGCCGCTTAAAAGCATTGGTTGGTTCAGATGAACAAAAGAATACTATTGAAGGTGATGAGCTTGTGTCTAAACTGAAGTCTGAACTTGAGATGTTGAGAGGGAAGCTCGAGAAAGTTAGCATCCTCGAGAATACGCTGAAGGGTCAAGAAGAGTCCATTGAACAGCTCCACGTTGATCTTGAAGCTGCTAAAATAGTTGAATCCTGTGCTAATAACTTAGCAGCAGAGTGGAAGACCGAGGTTGATAAACTTGAAAAACAAGTTGAAGAATCAAAGGAGTTTAAGATATCTGCTTCAGAATCTTTAGATTTAGCTATGAAGCAGCTGGAAGAAAACAGTCATGCACTTCATAAGGCAGAGTTGAGTAATGCTGCGTTAAAAGAAAAGGTTGAGTCGCTGATGACGACGATTGGAAGGCAGGAAAAAGATCTTGAAGAATCTAAACGCCAGTTTTGCATTTCAAAAGAAGAAACTTCTAAGCTTGAGAAGCTTGTTGAGTCAATAAAATCTGACCTTGAAACCACCCAAGAGGAAAAGTTTAGAGCTTTGGAGAATGAAAAGACTGCAACATCACATATTCATAACCTATTGAATGAAAAGACAGAACTTGCGACAGAGTTGGAAAACTGTAAGAAGGAAGAAAAGAAAAGCAAGAAAGCTATGGAAGGCTTAACTTTGGATTTGCAAGAAGTATCTGTTGAAGCAAGGGAAGCAAAGGAGAAGCTCTTAACATGTCAAGCGGAGCTCGAACATTGTGGAACCCAGATTGAAAGTTTGAAGTTGGCTGAGAAAGATACAAGTGAAAAGCATGGAAAAATGCTTGAAGATGCAAGAAACGAGTTTGATGACCTGAAAAGTAGTTTGGAAAACACACAGAATGAGTTTGTCAATTCTAAGACTGAATGGGAACAGCGAGAACTTCAGTTGACGCTATGTGTGAAGAAATTAGAAGATGAAAGTTTCTCTGTGCAGGAAGAACTTAGCAAAGTGAAGAATTTGCTTAATCTTAAGGAAGTTGAGGCGTGTGCAGCAAAAGAAGAAGAAGCCAAAATGAAAACTAATCGTAAGGAACTTGAGGAGGAGGTTAAGGATATGCAGGAAAGAGTTGAAGAAGCGAAAGCTGAAAGGATGAAACTTAAAGAAAGCTTGTTGGAGAAAGAAGACAAACTAAAGACCGCTGCTACAGAAAACAGAAAACTCAGAGAAATGGAGGTTTCTTCTCTCGAAAAGATCGATGAGTTGTCAAAGGTGAATGAAAGCTTGGTTGAAAAAGAAACTAAACTACTGAGCATTGTTCAAGAAGCTGAGGAGCTTAGAAGAAAGGAGATTGCTTGTCTGAAGAAGATTGAAGAGTTGTCAGCCATGAATGAGAGATTGGTTGATAAAGAAACCAAATTGCAGAGCAGTATTCAAGACATTGAGGTGCTCAAAGAAAGGGAGGCTGAATATATCAAGCAGATCGAGGAGTTGTCATTGTCGAATGAAAGTTTAGTAGAGAAAGAAGCCAAACTGCAGACTGTTGTTCATGAGAATGAAGAGTTAAGAGAAAAGGAGTCTTCTTATCATAAGAAGATTGAGGAGTTATCAAAGATAAATGAAATCTTTGCTGATAGAGAAACCAAACTTCAGAGTTCCACTCAAGAAAATGAAGAGCTTAGAGAAAGGGAGGTTGCTTATCTTAAGAAAATTGAAGAGTTAGCAAAGCTGCAAGAAAATCTTCTTGGTAAAGAAAATGAGCTGCATGATATGGTCCTTGAGATTGAGGACCTTAAAGCCAAGGACTCTCTAGCTGAAAAGAAGATTGAAGAGCTATCAAGTCTAAATAAAAGCTTGCTCGTGAAAGAAAGTGAGTTACAAGATGTTGTATGCGAAAATGAGGAGCTCAAATCCAAAGAGGCTTTATCGCTTAAGACAACAGAGGAATTGTCTGATGTTAAACAAACTTTGGTTGATAAAGAAAACGAGCTAAAGACCGCAGTTCTTGAGAATGAGATGCTCAAGGCCCAAGCTGCATCACTTCTTCAGAAGATTGAAGAGTTGACAAATCTTAAACAGAGTTTACTTGATAGAGAAAATCAAGATCTTAAGGTACGGGAAGCTTCAGCGGCAAAGAAGACAGATGAGTTGTCAAAGATGAAGGAGAGTCTACTTGACAAAGAAACCGAGTTGCAGACCGTAATTCATGATAACGATGAGCTGAAGGCCAGAGAGGCTTCTGCGCTTAAGAAGATCGAAGAGTTATCAAAGTTGCTAGACAAAGCTGTTTCCACACATGAGAAAGCGGAAGAAAACGGCAAGCTCAGTGACATCGATAAAGCTGTAGAATTCTCAAAGGAAAATGATCCCAGGTGCAGAGAAGAGATTACTAATACCAATCTTTCTGATCACAGAACCGGAGAACAAAAAGTACAAGAAAGTCCAATGGAAGCCATTGATAGACATTTGAAAGATGACACAACAATTCATTGGTTAGCTCACAACGTTCAAGTAATAGGAAAAGATAAAGACACCATGGAAGGCGAAGACTACCATTTAGAAAAGAGAGAAGCTTCTTCAGAGAGAGAGACAGAGCATGACTTTGCTGAAGAGGAAGTTGACTCGAAAGCAGAAGGTAGTGAAAACTTCGACCAGTTAAGCAATGGTTTGTCTTCAGCAGAACACACAGAAGATCTGGTCTCAAAGGATCAACATCAGAAAAAGAAGAAGCCTTTGCTTCGAAAGTTTGGAAATTTACTGAAAAAGAAGAGTTCAAGCAGCAATAGCAAGAAATAGAGAAAGATCTAATGTATTTACTAGCAACTCTATTGCAACAGAACATTCTTTTCTTTCCCTTTTTGAACATCTCATCGTTCCTTGAATTACATCCATATGTTAACAAAAAAGACATTCATAGTTAAACTTAAAGCTTACAAAACATACACAGAAACAACCTAAAAGAAGTTACACCAAGAGTCATGACATGAGTAGATAGAGAGCAACATGCAGAGAAAGAGTGTCAGTAGTAGTCACACTGTTAAAAGACGAAGCCTTTGAGGGTTTTTAACTATCAAGAGTGTGGAGACATTCTTTCAGATTTTGAATAGCCTTGCGGAGATTTAGTACAATGCGACGCTTCTTTCGCCTTGCGTTTTCTTCTTCCTCGTCGATCACTTGTGTCCCCTCATCTGAATCATTCTCTGATGTAGCTACCGAGTCATTGTCCGACTCTGAATTCACTTCTTCTGCGATCGCTGGTTCTGCAACGGGGATGGGAATTGGATCTGAGAGACCAGATCTGGTCCTGGTTGATCTTCCGCTGCGGGTTCTCATCATAGTTATCTGTCTTCCTCTGCCTCTGAAAGAGGAACTAGGCCTTTGCCCGATAAAGTAGTGGATGATCTCAGTTCGTTACAGTGGACTGGAAGATAAAGCGTATCACTTTACCTCGAAAGACTCTACCTTTACCACATTTTTTAATAATAGTAACCAACATTCAAATTATATAAAACTAAATTTTTTTGTTTTTATTGCATTAAACTACATATTCTGGTTAATTTCTAGTTTTAGTAATGAGTAACGACCCATAAAATTTGATACCAATTTTGGAACGTTTTGATCGTTTTCATCCAATGTTCGCCATGCATCATTTTGGACATTTTTCACTAGGCGGCCAACATTTCTATTTCCCGGATCCAAATTAAAATCTTAACTAACTAGCTTCAGAGTTTATAAACGTCATACAACTGAATTAAATGTGTCCCAAGAAAGATTTTTGCAGGGAAAATATAAATCTTAGACATAGACGAACAAAGCGGTGACCATTGAAGCTGCCATCAATTCGTTGCGAATGCAAACTCTTATCAACTATATAGAAACTTTGGTATTTATATATTAAGAGATCCAGTGAGAGAGTCACGTGATTTCTTGGAGCATTATTAGAAACTTATATAAACGTGATTCAAAAGGAAAGGGATCTAGAGAAGACCTTCTTCACGGCTTTCCATGTGAATGAAGAGGTTCTAATGAGTGACAAAGGAGGTCTTATACTAAATCTCGGAGGCGACGTAGAATACGTATAAAACGCTGATGATTTATCGGTATCAACAGAAGTTTTCCTAGTATCTTCCTTCATGACGATGCAATCATCAACGTCCTTTATGACGATGCAATCAACGCTCTCTGGATTATTATGTTCCTCTATATTCCAAAACCGAGCTTCTTTTCGCTTCTTTTTCACCATCGCTAACACATCGAGCTTGTTACAAATCCCCCACACCGTCACCTTCTGATTGTAGTAGTCTACTTTCACTGAATATATTCCTGATTATTCGTTATAAAGAAAAGTATATAAGATTATTAATTATATATGCATACATTACATGATATCATAACCATTAGAAATTTAGAACTATTGATTACGTACCTTTGAGATGAGAAAGAGCCCTCTTGACTTTCTTCTCGCAACCGTAAGAATACAAAGGCACCATCATTTCTACGTACTGTGCTTCCACCTTGTTGTACACCGGCACGATTTGAAGATCACCCATTATAGGTTAACTATGTATTTTGACGGAATTCCAATTTATAACTCAAATTATGCACACTTATCTATATATAATAGAGATACACGAACTTAGGTGTGTGCATATATAATATTGACGACAGTGATTGGGTTGTATGCAGGAGAGATGAGGTGCATGTTGTTGAGGTCGTCATGTTATAAGCTTTTTAGGATCTAGTGACTTGGATTTAGTGTAAAATGTGTCACCAATTTTCTCTTTGTTAAAAGCTTTCACAAAATATACTTTTCTTTAGACTTTGGATCCCATGTTACATGTTCATCTTTTTCTTTATCCCACCAAAAGAAAACTTGGATTGAATCCTTTTGAAATCTAAGCAAAAGATATAAATTATTTTCTAAGAGAATATTAGACAAAAGAAGGAGAAGACATTTTTGAAAGGTGAAATGGGCTTCGTCATTACCAAACTTTTAATTGTTGCCATTTTATTTTCTTGACGTCGGTATCTAAAAGCGAACGGCGCCGGATCTTGATGACTCAGACACAATTCCTCACCTGCTTACCATGTGAAACCCATTAATTAGACTTTGCTTTTCCCATGCATTCTGAATTTTAAACCGCTTTTTTCCATTAATGGCTTTTGTAATGTCTAAATTCTTCAAGAGATTTATAGTCCAAAACGCTCTATATAATAATTAATGACTATCTAAAACTCTCAAATTTCATGATATAAGTTTTATTTCCTTGAAATAAAATATGTATTTGTTCCTTACAATATAATTCACTAACATCATTTACATGGATTTTAGAAACTAAAAGAAACCATAAAATTTTGGGTATTTTCAATATTACTTTCTTGTAACTTTTCGATTTCACACTGAATTTTGAATTCAACTAAAACTCTTTAAAATAAGTAAATAACAAACCAAAACAATATGACAAAAAAAAAAAACAAACCAAAACAATGAATAACAACAGGTGGATCTTACAGGCGTCTGAATGGGCTAGAGAGATAAGCCCAATAGTAATAAGCACGAAACTGTTGAAAGCCCATCAAACAATACTTGCCTCCTCTCCACGCATATTGCGTGAAATCTTCGTGATCCGGCGAAGAAACAGCACCTGAATAGTGACGACGCCTTATAAGAGGTTTTGTTTGGGGTTTTTCCTTTTTCACATTCTCATTTTCTGATTCTCCCACTAAGATGAACCACCTCGTTCGTAAAAGCTCCGTCGGTTACTCCGCCTTGAGGTCCGTCACGTACCTCCGTCAGTCTGCCGTTACCTCTCCATCTCCGATTTTCTCCGCCGCCGCATCAACTGTTCGCCACTTCACCTCCGCTGGCTATCCTTCCAACAGGTTTTTTCAGCTTACGATTTCGTTTTTGAGGCATCTGGTTTCAGATTTGAGTAGAGAACCCTAGGATTGATTCTTCGGTTGATATATTGATGTTCTTGTGTAGTTTTCAATTAACGCCGCCGGTGAATTGGGGAATCCGGATAGTTCCGGAGAGGAAGGCGTTTGTGATTGAGCGATTCGGTAAATACGCTAAGACGTTGCCGTCGGGGATTCATTTCCTCATTCCGTTCGTGGATCGTATTGCTTATGTTCATTCTCTCAAGGAAGAAGCAATCCCGATTCCGAATCAGACTGCGATTACCAAAGACAACGTTAGTATCCACATCGATGGTGTTCTCTACGTTAAGGTCATCTTCTTTTCTTTTACCAATCCATTTTCCTCTCTGTGATTTTTTGTTTTGAGTTCTTTCTTTTTTTATTCTTTACTGATTTCTTCTTGTTGATCTGAGATTTTTTTTGCAGATTGTGGATCCTATGTTAGCTTCTTACGGCGTTGAGAGTCCTATCTATGCTGTTGTACAGCTGGCTCAGACCACAATGCGTAGTGAGCTTGGTAAGATCACGCTTGATAAGACCTTTGAGGAACGAGACACTCTCAACGAGAAGATAGTGGTTTGTTCTCTATCCTTTTTTTTTATCTGTTTCAAGATTTTGGACTCACCGCACTTAAGCTCCTTTGCATTCCAAAGAATTTAGAACCCGCTACTTTGTTCAATTTCAAAGTCAAGTCACGTTAGCTTGACTATTGTTGTTATTGTTACTTCCGACTGAGCATTGCAGCGTGAGCTTGATAGTTGGAAAAATTAGTTACTTCTGGCAATATGTTTGTAATCCACAAGTTGGGTATATGGAATTTAGATTCAGCTGGGGGATTTAGTCATGTTGTATTTGTTGGATATCTGAAGAGATTTGCGTCCTTTTTCCAAATCACAAGGAGACCTGATGGTTAGAGAAAGTTATCCATTGAAGAAGAAAACATATGATGGATTTCTTAAGTGTATATACATTCTTACAGGAAGCCATCAATGTTGCTGCTAGAGACTGGGGTCTTCAGTGCCTTCGTTATGAGATAAGTAAGTTGTTAGTGTTTTTTCTTTTCCGCTTTACAGTTGCATTTTTTTTTTTGCCTATTTCTAATTCATGTATTTCCAGGGGATATTATGCCCCCTCATGGAGTGAGAGCTGCTATGGAAATGCAAGCTGAAGCTGAGCGTAAAAAGAGAGCCCAGATTCTTGAGTCTGAAGGTAAACTTGACTGACTTGTCTTTGCAAACTCATCTTCGAGACTGAACAGTGCTTGCTACGTCTCATAATGTTACTATTCTTGGCTAAAATCTACCTGTTATTCCTTTTGAGTTTCATTTTTTGCATTTGGTAAAGGAAAAGGCCTGTTAGCATGTTTCTAATCATTGTTTTACAATATTTAACAGGAGAAAGGCAATCCCATATCAACATTGCTGATGGTAAGAAAAGTTCTGTAATCTTGGCATCTGAAGCAGCAAAGATGGACCAGGTGAATCGAGCACAAGGTTAGTAAGCCATTAAGATAAAAAAAGAGAACACATCAGAGTAGCATGTAATGTCCAATTGTCCATTGTTAGTTAGTTTCGTTAGAAGAAAATTTAATTTTCATTTGCTTATTCTTTCACTATACACCGATGAATGCTTGGTGCATGAGGAACTATTTTCGTCACTGCTAATGCACAATATGATTGCTATTTCCCACTGGTTTTTTCTTATATTATCCTCTGATGATGTTCTACAGGTGAGGCAGAAGCGATACTAGCTAGAGCACAGGCAACTGCGAGAGGCCTGGTCTTGTTATCTCAGTCCCTCAAGGAAACTGGGGGAGTAGAGGTGAGTGTTCATAGTTTTGATTTAACAAACTAGCTTGATTACTTAATTCTTCGTAGTATTTACACAAATTGCTAAATGTGTATGTCATTATTCTCTTCAGATAAAGGGTTCTGTGTCTTCTTGAACATGCCAACTTTTGAGATTATAAGTCATAGCACTAATATTACTGGGTTTAGGTTTCTTAACTTTTGTGTCCAAAATATGATCTCATACTGTGTCAATGTAAAATTCGCAGGCGGCGAGTTTGAGAGTTGCAGAGCAATATATTACAGCCTTCGGTAACATTGCCAAAGAGGTAAACAAATAGACTACATCAATCTCTTCCAATCTCTTTGGTATAGCTCGGGCTTATTTAATGTTCATGTGTTTCGTTTTTTTTGGGGGTTTAGGGTACGACAATGTTGCTTCCAAGTACTGCTTCAAATCCTGCTAGCATGATTGCTCAAGCTTTAACAATGTACAAAAGCCTTGTCATCAATGGTCCAAGCAGAGATCACCAAGAAACACAAGCACTTAATGAAACAGACTTGGAAGAGTTGGAAGACCTGGATGAGAAACATATATCAGAAGGCTCTAATAACCGATCAGGCTCAACATCCTTTGACACAGAGAAACCAGGTCACACCGGTGAACCACGATTTTCTCTTCAGGACCGCAACAAGGATCCGCGGTAGGCAGCCGAACCTGGGATGAGATAAATTCTTTGGGCTTAGAAAACTGGAAACCATTTTTCATCTTTCAATATGAGACAGTAACCATCTTTCCTGTTTGAACGGCTAGAATATCATCACTTTGCATATAGAAAACAAATCTGAACATCGGTTCTCTGAGAAGAGTTTTCCTACTGGATTTGTTATTAGTCCTTGTGTTCTTATTCACCTTTATTCTCATTGCATTGCTTACACCTGTATATGTTATTATTCGGTTCGGTTGCAGTAGTATTGCAATCTAATAAATCAGGAGGAGCTTGTGAATCCATGAGATGTCAGAATTTGCCAGCAGAAAAGAAAGCCATTGTCCCCTAAACAGGATACAGAAGAATGGTTGAGATAAAAGTTATCCTCCGGATAAATAGGTCGTGACAGAGAATCAAAGGTGTAATGACTTGTGAATCTCAAATTGATTAAAACTTTACCAGAAATAGCTTTAAGTCCATACGATCTCCTATATGTATCTGTTCACAGCCCTCTCCTTCATTTGCTCAGCCTCCGATTATAAAATAAGACTTTTGGCCTCTTCAAAGCAGCTTTGTGTAAAGGAGTTCCCTTTTTCTTTCTTTCTTTTTTGGCTCCACAGCTCTCCCCATTGTAATTTTTTTCTTTCCAAACTAATCTTTTCAATCAAAAACTATGGGAGGCTGTGCGAGCAAACCTAAGGAATCTGATATCGTCGAAGGCTCTGTCCCGACCGAAAATGCTGTTGTTGAGTCCAAGAATGCCGCGATTGAGACAGACTCCACATTAACTCAGGTTTTGTGTATCCCATTTTGTCATTCATTTTGGCTTTGTCGTTGGGCTCTCCAATATGTTCGAAATGATATTGAATGTGTTCAAAGAATGATGCAAAAAAAGAAGTGAAAGAGTATAAGACCCTCATTGTTTGTTTTCTGCTTACGTTTGCGTTTGTGTTCCATGTTATACATAAGTTGACACTATTGTTGCTGATTTGTTGTATCACAGGAGAAGAAGGAAGAGTCCAGTGAAGCGACAAAGAAGGACGGTGAAACAAAAGAAGACTCCTCTGAGGCAACCAAGGCTGAGCCAACTCCAGAATCTGTGAAGGCAGAAGAGAAAGCATCTTCGGAGACTGAGCCACCAGCACAAGAGACGACCACACCTGCTTCCAAAAGCGATGAGGCCCCTCTCGTGATACTTTGATATTTTCATTTCCGAATTTCAAAATCATGTGTATATATGTGCAAGTGCAAGTGTTTCTCACTTTGTAATTCGTATGTTCATCTCTGACTCTCTGTTCTATTGTCTACATTTTTGTTGTGTCTGCCGCTAGTAAAATCTGCTTATGAAAAATTACAATTCTTTTTTTATATAGCTTATGATGTGTAAAAGATCAACACTAAAACTAGACTATCAGTTGGCACTATGCCAAGTGGATCTAGAGGTTCCGTTACTCTGTCAACCAAAAACCTTTCTCTCGCTAACTGTGTCCCATGCACTCTTGCAGAGGATTAAATGAAGAATGAGTACATGGACTACTAAATCTGTGTTCCATTTTTTTTTTTTTCGAATGAATGTAAAATTTATTCAACCAAAAAACTTTGTTTACAATGAATGCATCTTTTAGTAGAGTTTTTATAAGGGACCACAGAAAAAAGTTGAGTCAAAGCAGAACTTTTGGTTGGAAATCTTTGTTCTTTTGCATGTCGATTCCTAACTACTAAACTCATTTATAGCAGGAATATTAAATTTCCGGTACGGTGCAATGTACACAGTACGGTTTTAGTTGGATTTTGTAGAAGACAATTAATGTACACTTCTACCGAACACCCCAAGTTTGATTGGTCGTAAACAGATACTACAGGCCACCATCGGATGCAACTCGTACGCATCTAGATCGAGGCTCAATCAAAATGGTAACGGACCCCAATCAGACGTGTCTACGCCAGACTCAATCGACGAGTAATACAACTATGAATAAGCAATCGAGGCAGTAAATGGGAATACGTGCATTATGTTTTGGTATGAGAATCATGTCAGCAACAACCAAACGGTATATTGACATATCGTATAGTAATAACTAATGAGAGAGGCAGAGAGCACCAACAGAGTTAGGTAGGCCTTGTTAGATTTTCATACCAACCTTGGCACTATTTAAACCCCTTTAGTATCCAAAGCAGAATAGAGATACAAATAAACAAGAAAAAGAAGAAAAATATATAGAAATGGGTGGTTCCAAGTTTCATGCACTTATGTATCCATGGTTCGCAACTGGTCGTATGACTCCGTTCCTTTATCTTGCCAACAAATTGGCTGAGAAAGGTCATATGGTTACTTTCTTGCTTCCTAAGAAAGCTCTGAAACAGTTGGAACATCTCAATCTGTTTCCACACAACATTGTCTTTCGCACTGTCACCATCCCTCATGTGGATGGTCTCCCCGTTGGCACAGAGACAGCCTCTGAGATCCCTGTGACATCAGCTGACCTCTTGATGTCCGCTATGGATCTCACACGTGATCAAGTTGAAGTTGTGGTCCGAACCGTGGAACCGGACCTGATCTTCTTTGACTTTGCTCATTGGATTCCACAAGTAGCTAGAGACTTGGGCATTAAGACTGTAGAGTACGTCGTGGTGTCTGCATCGACCATAGCTAGTATGCTTGTCCCAGGTGGTGAGTTAGGTGTTCCTCCGCCGGGATATCCTTCATCGAAGGTGCTGCTTCGTAAACAAGATGCTTACACCATGAAGAACCTGGAGCCTACAATCGATGCCGGACCAAACTTGTTGGAACGAGTCACTACAAGTCTTATGAACTCTGATGTCATTGCGATAAGGACAGTCAGAGAAATCGAAGGAAACTTTTGCGACTATATCGAAAAGCATTGCAGGAAAAAGGTTCTCTTGACAGGTCCGATGTTCCCTGAGCCAGACAAGACTAGAGAGCTAGAGGAACGATGGGTTAAGTGGCTAAGTGGGTATGAACCAGACTCAGTGGTGTTTTGTGCACTGGGCACACAAGTCATTTTAGAGAAAGATCAGTTCCAAGAACTCTGCTTAGGAATGGAGCTAACAGGTTCACCGTTTCTTGTAGCGGTTAAGCCACCTAGAGGCTCATCAACGATTGAAGAAGCACTTCCAGAAGGATTCAAGGAGCGGGTTAAAGGAAGAGGAGTTGTTTGGGGAGGATGGGTTCAACAACCATTGATATTGTCTCATCCATCGGTCGGGTGCTTTGTGAGCCATTGTGGGTTTGGATCAATGTGGGAGTCTTTGCTGAGTGGTTGTCAGATAGTCTTGGTGCCACAGTTGGGTGATCAGGTCCTCAACACAACACAAGATTGATGAGTGACGAACTCAAGGTTTCGGTTGAAGTGGTAAGAGAGGAAACAGGATGGTTCTCGAAAGAGAACTTGAGTGATGCTATCAATAGTGTGATGAAAAGGGACAGTGAGATCGGGAATCTGGTGAAGAAGAATCACACCAAGTGGAGGGAGACACTAGCTAGTCCTGGACTTATGACCAGTTATGTCGATAATTTCATAGATTCATTGCAGGATCTCGTTGCCTCTGAGACCAACCATGAGTGATTTTGCCTTTCTGGTGTTTCTAAGTAGCAGTGTGTGATCAATAAGGTTTGTATAAACCAAAGTAGCGTGAAGTACCTTTGTTTTCTAGTTGGCTTTAGACTAATGTGTTTCTTGGTTGTATGGTGACAAGATTGCTTTATGAGTTAGCTTCTAAGACAAGAAAAATTCTTAAGGAAAAAGTTTATAATCCATTAAAGAGTATAGTGAAGATAGTGACAAAAATATACTAAGAAACAAACTGAAAACCAAAACAAACAGAACGATGCAAATGAGTTTTGCAGAATGCCAAAATTGCACAAAATCTTCAATAGTACCATTTAGCCAAACATCTCTCGTTACAGAGAGAATCAAGCATTGTTGTGTATGCATAGCTTGTGGATCAGTTGCACAACGTCATCAGATGAGTCAAGAAAATAGCGAGCCTTTGTGTGCGTTTGGCCAATAGCTACGGAGAAGTAATTCTCTCCCTTGAGGTCATCGATGGTCGATGATATCTTCTTGGGGGATTCACTACCCGAAGAAGGAGGCGACTTGGTTTTCTTGGTAACTTCAGGCTCGAAGAATGTGTAAACGTCTTCGTCCTGAAACATATATATCAACCCTTGTATCAAATTCCATGGATAGTTTTAAGCTTATCCATATTTGGTTACATAAGAAGCTTACTTTTCCCAAGAAACAACCAATGCACAAGAGTACAAGACATAATCAATTGGTTTAGTCATTGATTTGTTGTGCACAATTCCTCCGAGAATACGCTCCATTGCACTTCCCTAAGGTAACAGAGAAAGAACATCCGAGAAAAAATGAGAATCTTTTGGGTATGGATGATATAGAAACAGAGTATTTTCATTTACCTTTGTCACACCAACGGCATGGACTTCAACAGACTGGCCCCCTCGAACAACATCTACTGATGCATTAGAGATTGGTCCTGCCCACAAGTGTTGTAACATGTCTCTTGCTTGAGCTCTCCCGAATTCAGCATCTACAAACAAAGAACAGATCAAGGAAACAAAGATAAGTGTTGGAAGGTTTAAAATAATGCAAGCGGATGATTGGTATACATTTATTTCATGTGATCACCTGCATATTCGTAGTTCCATACAATGTTTCAAGATATGATCCTGGAGTTCTTGCAGTGAAGTACTTGAAAAAATGCTGCAAACAAAGCAATTGAGTAGGGAAATGGAAATAAAGAGGCCTGTGAGATTAGGCATCTCACCACACATTACTCTAGTAGATCTTTGGGGGTATGGAAACTGGTTGGATATATATCAGAGATGAAAGTTACTGACAAAAACAGTTGGAACGCCACAAATCATTCTCGGTACAATCGATACTTGTTGAGTCAATTTCTGGTTCTTACAAATTACTGTATGTGTTAATGGGCTACTTAGCAATTGGGAATAAAGGCTTTGTAAACATTTTTTTTCATGTGGTATAGTAGAAAACCTTTATTTATTTTTTATTCCCTTTTTTTTACAGCAATATAAAACTTTATTAAAGGGAAAATCACATTTTTAACCCTGAAAGTGTAACTGGGTAGCACTTTAAACCTCGAAAGAATTCTACTCACGCTATAAACCACCAAGATTATTTTACTAACACATTAAACCTCCAAACTACCTTTTCTTTTTGCAAAGCTATAAATGATGATGTAACAATCAATTTATCTTTTTTTAATATATATTTATTTAATTTAATTTAAATTTTAATTAATTTTATTATTTATTACTATTTCGACGATAAAAAAAAAAATCATCATCTTCGACTATTCACCATCCGACCATAATTTTTCAGATTTTTATTCGGTTCATTGTATGTGTTCACCATCTTTTTATTCAATTGGTATTATGAGATTCCAATTTATCCACTCGAGAGAGTGAAAACGCTTATGGATCAATCTAGAAGATTGTTTCAACACTGTAATAAGAAATTTAATGCTCGGACGGTGAGTAAACGAAGAAAATAAAGGTTTTTTTTTGTTTTTTTAGATTTTTATTAATTGTAATAAATAATAAAATTAAGTAAAATTTAAATTAAATTAAATAAATATATATTAAAGAAAGATAAATTGATTATTACATCATAATTTATGGCTTTGCAAACAGAAAAGCTAGTTTGGAGGTTTAAAGTGTTAGTAAAATAATCTTGATAGTTTATATTGTTAGTAGAATTCTTTCAAGGTTTAAAGTGATACCCAGTTACACTTTGAAGGTTAAAAATGTGATTTTCTCCTTTATTAAATATGGGTTTAATAGTGACCAATTGCTATAATTCGTAGCACAAACACTGCCTTATTTAATTCTTAGCACAAATGAACATGCCTTAATTTATTTATTTATTTTTTTGTTAAAATTCAATTTAGATTTATTTTATTTTTAAAGAAAAAGAAATGGATAAAACTTTACAAAAATGGTGATTTAGGTCTATAGATTCCGAATGGAGACGTACTACTGATAAAGTGTGTTGCGATTCTAATAGTAACGAACATATATACATATATATATATATATATTTGTTAATGTTGGAACCGCACCGCACTGTGATGTTTGGTCTCTATTCGGAGCTATTAGAATCGCAAATAGTTTTTCTATGATAACGGGTATAATTTTTTTAAGAGAGTAGTAAACGAAGACGATAGTATTTTAGTTGGATTTTTCAAAGATAAAAACATGCTTTTGATTGTGCAAAAATAATAATAATAATAATAAAACAAAATGCTTTTGATCCAAAAAGGACAAAACACCCACCATAGGATCCAACTAGGCTTGGACATATAATC